CAGTAGGAGTAAAAGGCAAGCCGTCGAATGCAGGCAGAGCGGGCAAGGCAAGCTCTGATGGAGCTACGATCTTAAAATGTCTCCGTTGCCGGCGGCGGACCATCAAGCCAGTTCGCAGGGATGCAGCACGTCCTGCGCTACCACCAAAAGCTACTTCTACAGCGGCATCTACGCCTGATATTCAATCATCATCTGCTGTTACAACGCCCCAGTCTGAACCGGCCACCGAAATGGCGGATCAAAGTCGGGTGAATAAAGCGGCCGACAATGCCAACAGCAAAAAGCGGGCCAAGGCTCGCAAGCAAGGTGGGCTGCAGGCTCTAATGGCATCCAAGCAACAATCCCGCAGCAATTCATCCTCACTTGATCTCTTTGACTTTCTTCAGTAGTGAAAGCGACTTGCGACATCCCAAATTCCCTGCTGCTTTTGCTTTCACTGCCTTGGAGTGCCAAGACCGGAATCTCGGCTGTTTCCTCCGGGATGGATTGGGCCTAGCGCGGGGTCACGCTATCGGAGCTTCCCAAGAGCAGCTGCTGTTGATCTGGAGCTCGCTCGACTGTCACCCTCTGCATTCTCTGCTGCGGCTGCCTCTTTCTTCTCCTTGACTTGCGCTTTGGTTGTATTCAATATACTGCCACTTGTTACCCCTCCGACACAATGTCGTCTTACGATGACGAGCACGATCCCCAGGCGGACGAGCTCCGGGAAACCGCCCTCGTCACCCTGGAGACGTTGATTAGCTCTTGCAACTCTCAGATGCAGCCATACATGTCCAATACCATCAATTCAGCCCTTCGATTTCTCAAATACGATCCCAATGTTGCCGAAGCCGAAGACGATGAAGAAATGGGCGGCACTCAGGATGATGGCTCTGAAGATGACGTAACAGAGGAACCCGATCTGGACGACGATGACGAGTTTGAGGATTTCGAGGAAGAAGGAGGCTACAGTGATATTGATGATATGAGCTGGAAGGTCCGCCGCTGTGCAGCAAAATTGCTCTATTCCGTCATCTCGTCCTACACCCGCGGCCGTGCTGCAGACGATGCGTCCTTGTTTCAGCAAATCTCCCCCGCTCTTATCGCCCGGTTCAATAAAGAAAGGGAAGAAAGTGTCAAGCTCGAAGTTGTGTCTACCATGACTGCGCTTGTTCGGAAAACAGGCGAAGGCGCTATGATAATCACGTCCAACGGCTTCCTCGAATCCGTCGGCGGTTCGAAGAATTCGAGGAAGAGGAGACGCCAGGACAGTGATGCTAGTATGATCGACTTCGAGCCCAGCATTGGCACCTCCTCTGCTGTCAGCACCCCCGTTGTTGCTCCTTCCTCGCCTAAATCCGGTCCACAGGCGGAGCTGGCTCGGTCGGTGCCGATAATTGTGCAGAGTGTTGTCAAGATGTGGAAGCAAGCTTCTGTACCACTGAAGCAGGCTATTATCGTGCTGCTTAAGAGCCTTGCACTCGTTCGCTACGGTGGTCTTGCGGATCATCTCCAACAGCTCGAGGACCCCATAGCGGATGTCTTGAAATCCTCTTCTCTCTCAGGCGGTTCATCCGCACCTGTCGGGTCTTCGGCGAGTGCGGGCACCCTTCAGACCGAAACTTTAGGACTCATCGCCGCGATTGCTGAAACGCATACGTCTGATGCATTGTTACCCTTCCTTATCGCGTTGATTCCCGGCGTCATTGGGGCTGTCAATGACCGGAACTACAAGGTCAGCAGCGAAGCGTTGGGAGCCGTCGAACAAATCGTGAAGGCGCTTACGCCGCCGCGGGTCCCCAGCGCCTCTCAGGACCTTGCATCGCACCTAGAGAGACTATATGATGTCGTTCATACCCGGATCACTGATACGAGTGCCGACCTCGAAGTTCGCCAGAGAGCAATTCACGTCTTCGGTGTGCTCTTGGCCCGGACAGCTGGGGAGAAAGGTTCTTCTTTCCTCCCGCTTGAACAACGCTCTAAAGGTCTTTCTGTTTTGGTGGAGCGACTGAAGAACGAGACCACGCGGCTCGCAGCTGTCCGTGCTGTTGACGATGTGGCCGTCCTTTGCACTCGTGAGGTGGATGTCGCACCGACATGGGTTAGTGAAGTTACTGCAGAGCTTGGCGCACAGCTTCGCAAGTCAGACCGGGTTCTTCGAGGTGCTAGCTTGGAGGCTCTTCGCAGCCTGGCCATGAACCCCAACACCAGAACTCATTACGACGATAAGACCATGAAAGAGCTAGAAGATAGTCTTCTACCGCTCATCAGCGCAGAAGATTTCCATTTCCTCGCGCCGTCACTCATTATTCTAGCGAAGCTGGTTCCAGGGAATGCTCAGCTTCTTGTGAACGAGAACCTGATCTCTGCGCTGTGTTCCGTCGTTCTATCATCGCTCGTTGGAACAGTACTGAAGGCCCTTCTCCTGTTAGTCAAGGTCATTGGAGAAGAGGGAGCTGGTGCTGCATTGATGAAGAAGCTTCTTCAAGATGTCGGTATCAGCGGCGACACGTCAGTGGTCGGTAGAGCGATCGGAACTCTCTTGGTGCACGGTGGTCCTAAGCTGGGTGTCAAAATGGAAGATTTCATGACGGAGCTGGAGACTGCCCAGGATGCTCAACGTAAATGCCTTGCGCTCGCGATATTGGGAGAGATCGGTCTACGGATGGGCTCCAGCTGTTCACTAACCCCTGAACTCTTCATCACCCATTTTAACTCCAAATCCGACAAGGTCCGACTGGCTGCAGCCACAGCTCTGGGTAATGCAGCAGCTGGGAACGTCAAGTCTTACTTACCTATTATCCTGGGTGGTCTTGAGAAGGGCAATCCGCAGAGTTATCTGCTCCTTCATTCCGTGAGGGAACTACTCCAACATCCCGAGATCGTCCGGCCAGATGTAGCTCCCTCTGCTGTCAAGCTCTGGCAAGCACTTCTGGTTGTGTCAGAGGAGGAAGACAACCGAGCCGTTGGTGCAGAATGTGTAGGCCGGCTCGCCCTGATCGATCCAGTCGCTTACATTCCTCATTTCCAGGTGAGTCCAACTGCCAGCGGTATGTCAATAGTCGCAACATGTGCAGCTAACACAATGTAGGATTATCTCTCCAGCAGTGACCCGAGTATCCGCAGCGTTGTCATTTCCGCATTCCGCTACACCCTCTCGGATCCCAGAGACACGTACAACGATGTGCTGAGGCCCGTGATCGTACCTCTGTTGGTCAACATGCTGAGCGACCGCGACCTTGGCAATCACCGTCTTGCTCTGACGACCTTGAACTCCGCTATCCACAACAAGATGGACATCCTTCTTCCCCACCTCAACGAACTCCTCCCGGCCGTCTTCGGCGACACCAAGGTGAAGCCAGAACTCATCCGCGAAGTGCAAATGGGACCATTCAAGCACCGTGTCGACGACGGTCTCGAGCTCCGCAAGGTCAGTCCTCTAATTCCCTCCCTCTACACAGACGAATAAAGACTCACCCGACCTCCAGAGCGCCTATGAAACCCTCTACGCCTCCCTCGACTCCGCATTCTCCCTCAGCCACATGAGCGAATTCTTCGACCGCATCCTCTCCGGCATCGACGACGAACAAGACATCCGCACAATCTGCAACCTAATGACCTCCAAGCTGATCCATCTCGCCCCCGAAGAGACGCAGCGCCACCTCGACGCGCTCTCAGAACGCTACAACGCCATTCTCTCCTTCAAGCCGAAGGAAAACGCCGTGAAGCAAGAACTCGAGAAAGCGCAAGAGGCATCATTGGGCGTGCTGAAGATCAGTCGCGAACTGAGCAAGGCGTTCCCGAATGCCGAGGTGGCGGGTGATCACCACAAATGGAAGGCTTATATGGAGTTGATTCGGAAAACGTATGGTGCGCAGCTTAAAACGTTGGAGGCGGAGGCTTAGATGGAAGTATTTCTTTCCTACTCCAGCCATCTGTAACTTCAGTTGGCGGTCGCTTAGACAGTCTATCTACTTGGCCTATATTTTACATACGGTGGGAAGTGGAGGAGCGTGAAATTGAAAAGCGAAGCGAGTGCATGATATCGTATGTTATGATCGACGTGAATGAATTACGATGATTCATGCTTTCAGCTTACTGCACTGGCCTGAATGTAGTTACTGTGTAGGACGGAAAAAATAAATAAAAAGCATCAATGCATTATGACGACAGAATGTGCACCGGATATGATATGGGGGGAATAGTCCGCTTGAAGTAGAATACAGCAAGTGTGATGAGTTTCCAGAACTCCTGGTATGCAGCCAGCCCCTTCACGTAGCCGTTTTAACGCCAACCCCAACAACCAACCATCCGCTATGTAGAATCAAAAAACAAAAAAATCAAGAACAGAAGGCAAGACAGTAATCCAACCCAATGATATCAAAACTCCGTGCAGCTGCACCCCAGGATATCATGAATCATACGATGCTAAGTAAAAAAAAACAGGCAATTTATGCAGTGATGGCTTTCTTCTTGAGAACACCGAGCTTTTCGAGTTTTGCCCAGGCCCGGTCCATGTCGGAACCTTCATCCACAGAGGGTCTCAGCTCCAAGCCGTCCAAAAGGCGAATTGAACCCCCGGTTCCTGCATATAGCATGAGCTCGAAGACTCGTCTGCGGAGTCGCGTTGCCTCATCCAAGTGGGACAAGTATCTCTGATCAGCCAAAGGATCGGCGAGCGGAAGGGTGTAGGGATCATCTATCTCGATTCCCTTAGCAGGATTTGGCAGTTCGTCCTCGCCTACAGTAGCTGGGTGCGTGACGTCTCCACTGTGCGCAAACTCGGCTAGGGCAGAGGGAAGGTCGAAGCCGTCCTGGCGTCGTTGGACAAGCTCCTCTTTCGCCTTCAGCTTCTTCACGTTCGCTTTGCCGTTTCCAATGACAGCAGGGGGATAGAATCGGACGGTGAGGGGGTTGCCACGGATGTCGACTTTCTGTAGAGAGCAGGCTCTTCCCTTACTTGTTCTCCCAATATGGCTCAATACTTGACAGAGACGTCGCAGCCGTGTAATGTTATTTCCGGCTGCCGCTAACCGAGCAAGGCACTTCAAGCCCGATAGTTCGTTCAGACCTGTGAGGGAGTTGAAATTGAGATTGAGGACCACCACATTGGGAAAGCTCGAAGCAAAATCCACAGGAAGCCCCTGGATGTTGCAGGAGGCTATGTCCAGTAGCTGCAAGCTTAGAAGGGGCGAGGAAGGCGTAAGGCTCTGCATAGAGAGTCTGTTTGAAGAGAGGAAGGCCTTTCGAAGATCTTTCACCAGACCCAAATCGATGTCGAAAATGCCACCATCAACGTCTCCATTCATTTGTTCTCTAGCAGAGAGGACCTCCAAGGATTGGCATTTATCGAGACCAGAGACGCTGCGCAAGAAATTTTGGTCGACATAAAGCAGGTTTAGGGATGGGAATGCCCCGACGTCGAGCGTGCGCAGGATATTATTGGAGAGCTTCAGGAATTGGAGACTAGGTAAAGAGGCTGTGGTTTCAAGCCCGTCGAGTTGATTGTAGCGAAGATCAAGGGCGGACAGGGAGGGAAGTGAGTCAAGGTTGCGGAGGAGGAAAGTGGTTAGGCTTAGATCTAGATCATGCAAGCGAGTCCTGTTTGGACCGTTAAATTCCGAATAAGGCAGCTTGAGCGGGATGTACTCACAATTCTGCTCGGCCAAAGTCGACCGTGGTCAAGCCATTATTTCTTAATTGCAAGCTCAATAGCCCGTCCAAATCAAATATGCCTTCGATATTTGTGATATTATTGTCGTTGGCTTTAAGTTCTCTGAGGTGAATAAGGCTGCTGAACGCGTCTAAGCTTTCGAGTTCGTTCCCGGACACGTCGAGATACTGCAAGTTGGTCAAGTGGCCCCAAGCTGTGAGGTTCGAGAGACAGTTGTCCTGAATATTTAGAGTCCTTAGGCTGGGAGGAACACCACCTAGTTGACCAATGTCGTTGCCGGTCACATCCAAATCTTCCAGTCGGGGGCAGAAATCGCAGAGCTTATGAAGAGTAATTAACCCCTTGTGCCGTAGGACCAGTCTTCTCACATTTTCCCAGTACGGTTCGAATGGTTCGGCTTCCGTGATATGCTTCACCAAATCCTCAGTAGCCAAGGCAAACGTGCCGTGGACCTGGCGTAGCGATGTGGGGTGAGTCCGCTGAGCCACGTAGCTAACCTCAAGATGAAGTGGTTGATCGATCTGGTCAATAGTGAAGTCGGGCAATGGGCTTAGATGGAAGCTATAGGTCGTGTCTGGTCCTAAATGTTGGAAGGGAACCAGCGAATTATTAACATTGCTCTTGTCCGGCGTAGATGCCACAGACCCATGAGAGCCTCTTCGAATCAAACTTAAATCTCCTCTGTTATCGAGATCCGGTATCGCACCAGGGTCCAACGACTTCTGCTCTGGTAGCAGGGTATCCGGCAGACGACTGGAATTGCCCGCCTCGACACAGGCAGGGCCATGCTCAGGCTGCTGGATCTCTTGATTTTGTCGGAGTTTGGTGGGGCTTTCATCTTCATCAAATGCGATCTGTGAAACCAGTGGCGACGAGAAGCTGATGGTCACAACCCGAGCTTGTTGGCGGTTTTCTTGTTGGCGCCGCGGTAGCTTGGACAGGCGCCCTTCGTGTAGCTGAATCTCATGCTCGACCTCGCTGGTTGATTTGCTCGTCCTGCGGGCCTCGGATCCCCAAGATGTAGCTCTGGTCTCCGAGTTGGAAAACCTCGACGTAAAGGGCGTGGTTTTTGACTGAATGGAGCTGAAATTGACCGAAGGGTCGCCTTCTTTCGTTTGCGGGCGCCGCTCCGACTGATTGGAAGCCTTTCGTGGGCTGGGCGAGCTCTGGCGCGCGTTGTCTTCACCCCGGACCGAAGATCCCTTGGTTTTGTCGGGAGAAAGAGAGCTCTGCATTCTCATCATCTCCTGGAGCTCATCCACGCTAAGGTCAGGAATATCCTTGAACGGGTCGTCCTCGCTCTCCTCGCCCTTGGGCTTGCCCGGAGACTTCTGAACCCCTTCCTTCACCCATTGGTTTCTATAACGGTCGTATGTGAGGCCATTCACCTGCTCCGGAATCAGGTGGGACACGATGTCTGACGACAGGACACCTTTTGCATGCGAGCTCTGCGAAGAAGAGCCTGTGGGTATGGAACGTGCACTGAGGCTCTTGCCGGAAAAATGAGTGTTGATAGTTAAAAGGTCAGGGAGATCATCGTCTTCTTCGCCATCTTCAGTCGGGGCCGACGATCTACGTGTATGTTGTTCAGCGTCCAGATTTTGGGCCTCGGCGTCGGTTTTATCATTCTTCTCATTTCCTTCGCTTTCCTCCCAAATCGAGTTTGCACTTTCGGAGCGAGTCTCATCTTGATCCAGATTCAAGGACATATCGGACCCATTGACTTCAAATTCTAGGTCATCATCCTCTTGGAACTTTTTCAGATGACTCAGTACACGAGGGTTCGGCTCCTGAGTTTCCCTTAGCTTCCGCATATCGACCCCCTCCCGGCTCGGAGGGCGCGAGAATTCTTCGCGAGTGGATTCGTCTTCATAACTACCGCTCTCGTCCTGGTCCTCAGCATCTGACTCCTCTACACTGGAGAGTCCGCCAGCAGACCGGCCCTTGGATCGGATTATATCCATAATCTTGGTTGCCTCGTTGAGGAAATCCTGCGTAGTAATTGACCCTTTCCGAATTTCCGTGTTGACGCCATTGACTGTCACAATCGGTATCACGTTGTCCGGCGGGGAGAGGGTATGATTGCCATGGTCATCATGCCCAAGACGATTGTGATTCCGGCTTGACGATGGCCTTTTCCTCGAGAGCGATCTCATCTGACTCGGAGTCGAGGTGTTGGGTCGGTACGCTGATTGAGAGCGTAGAAAACGTTCGTTGTCCTCATCTGTTACACCGTGTTGCATCAAACTCCTTTGTAACAACGTGAGGTTATCCGGAGCCTGACCTGTGACCTTTCCAGATCCGGCATCATCTTGCATGAGACTCTGAGATTGAAGAAGGGTACGGCGCCTCTTTGGGTGGGGGTCTTTAGCTGGGGACTGCGGCCTTGATCCCGTTTCAGACTGGTACAACTCTTCAACGGTCCATAGGCCTTGTTTCTCAGTGGCATTGGCACTCGGGACCGATTCGGACGCCTCCGCTGACTTGTGATTCTTCGTTGATCTGTTTGACCCACCATCAAGGCTTTGGTTTCTATACGAACGGCGACCCAGATATCCCCGTTCGATAGAGAGCCTCCGCGAAGATGACCTCCGATTAGAGCCGAGAGCTTCATTATTGAGCAATTTTGGCTCATATGGGCTGGTGTCAGAGAAGTCAAAATGGTCCAGTTCCCCGTCACCAAATCGGTTGAGTCGAGGGTTCGGCGTGTTCCGCGATCTCGGCCGCTCGTGTCTTCTAATGCTGGCCTCACCCAACGCGTCTTGTTGGGCGCTCATGAAACTCCTCGACTCGCCCTTGCGCCGCGCCTCTTCTGAGGGGGACACGGGCTCATCATCCTCAGAGAAGCCTCCGTAGGTTTCTTCAAATTGGCTCATCCGTCGCAACAGCCTGTTGTTTGTAAATGTATCATGATTCCCAAACAGCTTCAAAGGGCTGCCTGAAGACGGCATGACGTCGGTTCTTCCGGTTCCGGGTCGAACAGCAACATGCGCAGATGATGGTCGAGGAAGCGTCGGGGGATCCGTTACTGGATTAGTCTTCTGGTAGAAAGGTGGTGAGCTCCGGATTCTCTGGTTGGGAGGCAGGAACGGTGACAGTCGTTCGGAGGGAAAGGGTGGCGGGGACAGATGTAGCTTCTGGAAAGAGCCTTCGTTCAGATAGTCGTCTCGTCGCAAGTGCGCAAAAGCTCCACGGCCCCGGAAATCCAGCGTCCCCATGGAGAGGTCCTTGGGCAGAGAATGACTAGTGACGTCCAGTAGATCATCTTCCGGTAACGGGTCGACTGGAGCCTCCGACGGTTGATTTAGCAGGAAGCTATCACTTGCCGGGGAGTCGGGCCGTTCATATGGCGGCAATTGTAGTCTTTCGAGCTTGTTTGTCACTTTCTTTAACGCGGACCTTATCACTTCTGATGCAGCGTTTCCGTCCATTGTGTTCGGCTGTGAGAAAGTGATGGGCGTGAAGTCCTCATTTCGCATATCTTCCAAGCCACTTGCGGATCTCATTTGGGTGCCATTCCAGGAATCCTCATGGCCATCACCTTGGTTTGTCACAAATTTCGTAGGCCCTTTCCTTACATCCAGCATCCCATTGTGCGATCCTCGGGGGCTTCCTGGAGTTGACCTGGGCTCTCCTTGATCGTGACGTGACGACTTGGTCGGAGATCGGGGGCTTTTCGGAGAGGAAGAATGGCCGGCACTTTCACCAAACTCATGTTGACCATCACCGGGGGCACCGTTCGAGGTAGCATTGTCGCGTCGTTCTGAAGACGTAGAGAAGTCCCAGACGCTATCCGAGTGTTTCATTCTAGAAATGGCTTCGTCTTGCGTTTTCTCGGTTCCGGGGGTGGGCGGCTTGAACACACTCTCGAGTCCAATGGGGGCGAAAAGATCGCGCTGTTCACCGGAAGGGATATCGCCATGGACCAGCCTCCTCCGCCATTCGGGGGTCCCTTCGCTGCCCTTGGCCTTCTTTGGTTTGATTTGGACGGTGCTTTGCTGGACCGACTGACCGGAGGCGTTCGAGACCGACCGCAACGGCGATCTCGTGTCCATGGTGGACGATTGTTTACGCCTGGACGGCGGGTTTGGTCGGGGACTCTTTTTCGTCTTATCGGGGACTGGAGATCGCAACTTGGACGGGGTCTTGGGGGTACGAGGGGTTTTCGGCGTGGGCGGTTCCCTTTTCACGAAATGACAGGGCCGGGAAACCTTCTTTTTGTTATCAACAGGCGAAGGCGACGGGGCGACAGAGCGACGCGCGGGAACAGGAATGCGACTAGGAGAGTTTTGTAAGCTGGACTGGCGGGAATGAGAGATGGACCGAGAGGGGACCGGGCTGGTTGGGGTTCCAGGCACAGGGACGGGCACCCAATCGTCGGAAAGGTTGTCCAGCCATGGTGGATTGTCGCTCATTTTCTGGGTCGGAGGAGAGGGGGGTGGATGGTGGTCGCAGAGGCTGAAGCTCAGGTCGGCGCGCGTCGCGATTCACAGGACGCCAGGCAGGATGCAAGCACAGCGGAAATTAGCAGATGCAGGCGGACCATGGAGCTGAAGGATGGTGGAATGGCATCGGGGGTGGACTGCGGTGGGTTTGTTGCAGAGGGGAGATGCGCAATGGAGGGGGTGGTGTGGAGAGGATAAGCAAGGACCGAGTAGTTAAGTTACAGAGGAATAATGAATGGGAGAGAAGATGTAAGTAAGATTGGGGGGGAGAGGGGAGAGGAGGAAGAGGGAATCTACAAGTCGATAAATTGTTATTCTTGGGCGAGTGGAGATTCAGCGGCACGGCTTTAGTTGGTTTAGTTGGTTTAGTTTCCATCGATCAAGTCTGGCTGGCGGGTGCTCGGGGCAACCCTCCCCAGTCAATCAATCTACGCTTGAATTGGTTAGTTGTTAGGCTCTTAGAGTGTTACTATTCTTTTGTTGACAGGGTTTTTAACTGCCCAACTCTAGTTCCATGATATCCTGTTGTCTCCGTCCCCACGGTTCCTTGGTTCCAGAGAGGGACCGGGATTCATGGTTGATCCCCCCGTGTGTTCCACCGAGATCGTGCCTCTCCTGAAACACCTCCTGCTGCATCTTGAGGAAGCAAAAAAAAAAAAAGAAAAAAAGAAAAACACCTTGCGTCGGAGCAACACATTGAGCAAATTACAAATAAAAATAATAACAACAACAAAATTACTATGGGCCATGACGATACCGAGCCCAACCAGACCCGCAAAGCACAGCTAAAATGCAAGCACATCCCTTAACCTGAAGTGGACAATTGCAGTCTGAGTTGGCACTGGATCCCCTCGCCAACCAATTGCAGTACTTCTGGCAGTGACCGACTCCATCCTCTTTACGGAGTATAGTCTAGTCTTAAGAGAGTCTGAGCATTGTGGATAGCAGGGAAAAAGTACCCAATTGTCGCCCACTACTGTCGATCCCTTGGGGATTCATTAGATATTAATCTTCGCGACGCAAGGAGCACTCCGGAGTACACAGTGGACTAGTCTCATCCGTCACGGTCTGGTCTGCCCGAGTCGTCGCATTTCCAACGCCAGACCCTGCAAGGCACGAGCTTGGTGTTTCGGGCAAATTGGATTGATAAGCACTCGCTCGTGTTGGATGCGATCATAACTCCCAGAGTATGAAGTCGGATTGAGCCTGCGATCATCGAAATAGTATTAAACTGTCAGTGTCGGCTGATAGTCAGAATGGGGAGTTTTAGTGTGGAGTAGTACTAAACAACTACTATGATCATGATGATATATATTATCAGCATATAGTTAACCGGCAATTCTGCACACTAGTACGGAGCACTACAACTTTTTGCTCGTCGGTCTAGTGGCTTTTTGGAGCCCGCAAATAAACGTATGCCTTTCGTAGAGATAAATACCAATCGCCTCTCACTTCGTAAAACAAACCACCACTCCTCCGTAGTGCTAATAGTATGCAACACATCTCTGGCAATGCCAACACTGTTTCATTCAATTCTATGGCAGACCATTAATTTAGTACCATCAGTCCATGGCGTTCGTCATGTAGGTAGCCAAGCGCGTGCACCCTTAATGGACATACGATTTCCACATGCCATAGTACTAGTGACACATACTTACTAGATTTATTTAGTACTACTAAGTAGTACTAGTGGTAGATGGGGGGCATCCAAATTATACAATGGAAGTACCTCAGCAACTTAAGCAGCTGAGTGCAGGAATGGTAGTACAAGGAAGATAACTTCCAATACGAAACTCAATGGTAAATTCCTCCCTACTCGAGGATATGTATAAAGATCTCTGTACCCCGTACTATCCAGACACATATCTTGTGTCATTGGCGTGACTCCTGTGGCAGAGCTAACACAGCCGAGGAGAGTGCTCCCCGCGAGCCTAGGCTGCACCTTCTCCGGGGAAAAGGAACATATCACTGCTAAGTATTGGACGCAAACGTTACATTGACACCTCTTTGATGATCTAGTTTGCAATCATGTCACATGGACGATAAATACAGTAGCCTTCGTCAAAGACACAAGTGGACTTTTCACATGTACGATCCACAGTCATCTCAATCAAGCCTGGGGGCGCTCGGGGGAAACGGTCCCCTTCACCTTGGCGCTCTCGGTTTCTCCCTCACCCTTTGCACTCTTTCCAGGCTCGTTCACGTACGGGTTGTCCGTGTTAGTGTTAGAGAGACCCTCCTGCTTGCCAGAGATGGTAGCCGAGTTACCACTGTCCTTGCGACTGGAGGGCTGAATTTTGGAAAGTAGTTAGTCGGCCATCCTCTAAGTCAAAGGAACGAAATGATCGTTACTGCCGGGGAATCAATGGCTCACCTGGTCTGCCTCCGAGGGCGGCTTTCCGTCCGTTGACGGCGTGCTCTCCGCAGACGAGGAAGACGTATCTGTCTTTTGCTCTGCGTCGCGATCAGGCTGGGGAGTAGCTTCACCGGCAGGGGCCTTCTCTTCCTTCTCGACGTGGCCAGCGCCGTGAGCCTCATGGCCGTGATGAGGGGTCTTCTTGGGTCCGGACTGAAGGAGGTAGAATGCTGTTGGGACACCAAGACCAAGAGATGCGATGAGCCTAGTAGAATTGCGTCTTTAGTCCTGTGTCCTGAACCAGTGAGACTTGGGCCTCAGAGAGAAGATAACTACCATGGCAGATCGGAGGACTTGGGAGCGTCATGCGATTGAGCGTAACCCCTGCGAGCGAATTGCTGTGTGGGAGGTCGGCGAGCTGCGACGTTAATGCCGGCACCGACGGCCCTAGCAGATGCGCGGAGGATATGAGGGCGTGCGAGAACCATTGTGAGATGATTTATGGCTAGATGATGATTTTAAAAAGCGGTATAGCTCAACAGATACGGTAGCAATGAGATGCAATTGACGGGAAGAAAAAGGCAGCGGAAGAAAGAAGGAGAAGAAGGAAGAGAAAGTATGAGGGGAAAGCAGGAGGCTGGACGGGGATGGTATGACCTAATTGAAGGCAGTCCCGGACTGGCCTTCGTTACGTTGCAATTCCATTCCTGGTCAACTTCTCGGAGCGGCAGCTGCCGGAGTGGCTCCCCTTCCCTGCTGTCACGATCATTTTACCGGTTGCTTACTTGCTGGTTTACCTGGTAATTAGCGTTGCTCACTATGGAGTAGCAAAGTACTCCCCATGTACTAACATCTGTAATTACCGCGGATGATGTAATGGCACCGTGCGGGGAAGACCGCTGGTTCTTGTAGTTCTGTCTCGCATGGACCGCGTGCTCGAGAACTGAAGGCTATAGCCATTTATCTTCCTCGGCATTGTAAGCAAAAAACATGGGCCTAGTGAAAGACTCTTACGTTCTTTTCAATTGGCTCTGTCAATGCACATTCTCGAGGTCACCGCGTGGTTCTGAATTGATCAAGCATGAAACATGCACCAAGGGTCTTAAAGGTCCGCCGTAGAAGCTTGCTTCATGCCTGAGGCTGCCACAAGCAGCTCCGATAACAAACACCACTTTAACTCTATCTCCTCCCCAATTCATCATCCCACTTGTTGCTTCGGTGGTTCCCCAGTCCCAGCTTCATCCCTAAATTGGTTGCGCGAAAACTTATTCGGACTGTCTGAAGCACACACTTTTTATAACACCTACTCACCATCGTTAGGGGTTATCTTTGTCCTCGACCACCTTTCACTATCCTAACGCCGAAACTCACTGCGGGGCTCCAACATGGCGGACCGGCAGTCGGTGCAGCACAGCCTTAACAGCCTGCTCGCTAAGCTGGGCGACCCTGACCCGGATATGCGATACATGTCCCTAAATGATCTACTTGGCATACTAAATAATCCTAATTCCACCTATCTGGCTCATGACCAAGTCTCCTCATCAAGGCTTGCTGAGGGCTTATTGAAGGCCTTAGATGACCAACACGGCGATGTCCAGAACCAAGCCCTGAAATGGTCTGTTCAAGTCCTTTCTTAAGAAAACTTTCAACCAGGCTAACTCGATGTACATTGTCTAGTCTTGGCCCTCTTGTCCTTCGACTGCCCTTCGAAAGCCTTGCATCTCTCCTCGAAAAGCTCACAAACCTGACAGCCTCGCAAACCATTGACACATCTGTTCCGAATACTGCTCTGAGGTACATTGTGACAGCTCTTCCTCGGCCCCAGGCGGGTCAGCCTCCAAGTCAGGAGGCGACAATGGCATATTCGGCCGTCTCTCGCGTCCTCATTCCCCGCTTGACTGGCCCGACCCCATCCCCTACTAGTCGGCGAGGCTCGATCGTCAAGGGCATGTTGGAAAAGGATCCATCGAAGGGCTTCAGCAGTGATGCTATTGATGTACTGATCCAGGTTGTTACTTGCTTTGGTCCTCTGCTGAAAGAACCCGAATTGACTGCCTTGCAAAACTCCGTCCTGTCCATCGTTGACAACGATACGGCTGGTACCGTGGTCACGAAAAGGGCTCTGACGGCCATATCTGCCCTCGTGCTCCATTTCTCTGATGCTCAACTTAGCGCTTTTGTCCAAGGACTGGTGCAAAGATTCAACTCCCCACAACTTAGTACAGTCCATCGGCGTCACCTCATTGCCACCGTCGGTGGTGTAGCGAAAAGTGCCCCGGCCAAGTTTGGTCCTCATCTTCCCACACTAGCCCCCTACGTCTTTGCTGCTGTTGGCGAGGATAACTTAGCACAAGTAAGTTAGCATTGATCCTATTTCACAGCTTGGTAACTTTGCTCATGTCCCGGCTTTACAGTAGTCGACCCCGATCCCCTCACCGCTTTTCGTAGGCTCAATTGCGCGAGGGACATGATCTTGTGCTGGTAGCCTCAAGTCTTATTCCCAGAACGGCGGCTTCCCATGTAACTAGGACTCACCTTATAGACATGATGAGCCTTCCAGTTCTCTGGGTGCCATGACCATACCCTTAATGAAAAGAAGAAACCAATGCAATGCTGCGTCAACCCAGTGCCCATCAATGGAGTTCCGCAAGACTAGAAAGTCTTGCGAATAGTAGACAAGAAGCTTATTTCCCGGTCAAATCATTGATCTATGAGACAGGTTAGCATTCCTATCTAGTTATGACCTGTTCTAATTCAGCCTCACCGTCATTGCCTGATATTGTTGAACAAGCTCCTTCCGTCGCTCAACCCGTTCGCCGGTAGCTTCTTGCCCTGCATGCAGGGTCGTCACTTCCATGTACATCAGGAAGGGCCCGGTCCGTCTAAGCAATAATGTCTACTTGGAAGCCATCTTCTTCTTTCTCCCACACCATATCTCATCAACTGTACAAGTCTCTACCCACTGTCTCCATTACTCTACAGATTACTTCGAATTACATCTTATCACAATATACTATCTCAAAATGCACATGCTTCGCTTGGTTGTTTCTGGGCTTGGTTTTGTGGCATGCACGACTGCGCGCAACATCTTCAGCCTGCAGCTGGACCGTCAAGGAACTCATCTACTGCCCCTTACTCACGGAGATGCTCCCGATCAGAAGCTTGTCGAGCGTGGTTCTAGTCCTCGCTGTGGCCCTGATCATGGCAAGTGCCCTGAGGGTAAATGCTGCTCAACTGCTGGTGTGTCTATACTACTTCCCTTGTAGACCAATTAGCCCGTACTGATGGCTACAGGTTATTGCGGGGACACCAAGAACCACTGCAGCTCTCCTGACTGTCAGATCGATTTCGGTAATTGCGACGCTCACACAACTCCAGGAGGCCCTCCTACAGACAAGATTCCTCGGCCTCATATAGGCAACGTTCCCTATGGCCCGAAATTCATTCGTTCGTGTACCACTCCAGGAACGATTGCCCTGACCTTTGATGACGGCCCCAAGGAATACACTCAGGACCTTCTTGACCTTCTTGACAAGTATGAAGCAAAAGTCACATTCTTCGTTACAGGAAACAACAATGCCAAGGGTGAGATTGACAGTCCTGGGATGCCTTGGGCATCTTTGATTCAACGCATGTACCGCAGTGGCCACCAAGTTGCCAGCCATACTTGGTCACACCAAGATCTTAGTAAAGTCACGCAAGACCAGCGCCGGGTTCAGCTGCTGTGGAACGAAGTCGCCCTACGCAATATTCTAGGGACAATCCCCACTTACATGCGCCCACCGTACTCCAGCTGTACCGCGGAGTCCGGCTGTCTGGAAGATCTTGGCTCGCTTGGGTATCATGTCATCCTGTACGACATCGACACAGAAGATTACAGTCATGATAGCCCGGCTCTGATCCAACAATCCAAGGACATTTTCGATCGCAACTTGGCCTCTCGGACGGATTTTGATAGGCCTTGGCTCGTCATCGCTCACGATGTCCATGAACAAACGGTCCACAACCTCACCGAGTACATGTTGCAAAAGCTTATTGCAGAGGGCTATCGCGCCGTGACGGTTGGCGAGTGCCTAGGAGATCCCCCTGAGCTCTGGTATCGTAAGGACGAGGCCTTCGACGATCGACAAACGCGAAAGTCTAAATCCAAGAATCCTGTTGCCAAGACTGTATCAGTTGACGGCATGTGTGGTGGGAACATCACCTGTCTCGGGTCGCGGTTTGGACCTTGCTGCAGTGGCACTGGCTTTTGTGGCAGCATGTCTACATTTTGCGGCGCCGGATGTCGACCTGATAATGGTAATTGTGGCGACAATGCTGGTACCGTCAAAGGTGGCGGTCCCAATGCTGGCTCTGGTAAACCTACGAAGCCGGCGAAGTCCGAAGGAAAGTCGTTGCAGCTAAGCTCATCGGTGGCAATTGTGATATTGTTATTCCTCGTGGTGTTGATGGATTAGGCTAATGTGGGGCTGAAAGCCTGATCCTTCCATATTTTATACAGCGGCTTAGCTCTGTAGCATTGAGGCTGTATCTATTACAGTCGGTCATGGGACGTTAAGGGGCGCATCATCTTATGCAGTGAGATGCTTCCCAGAGAGAACTGTTAGTCTGCACTCACTAGGCTAGTCTTACAAATTTGACTTATGCTTTTGGCACGACATGTGGCTCTTGATGGACTTGACCACAACATAGACATCGCATTGCATGACACAATGAGCATAGTAAAAATACTGAATACGTCAATCAACAAAAGAACCCACAACGCCAGATGGTATACCGCCGTCCCGCTCCGTCTGTAGCTCAAGCCCCGATAACGATTGCGCCAGTTCCTCAACCGTATGATTTACAATGCAACCACAACTCATCTGTCTACAGAAGACAGATCTAATAATAAAAGAACCAACAATGACAACGGTAATAAGCTCCCCAATCGCGAACCACATCACCGTCGTACAACCTTCAACAACGGCGCAATTCTCGCTCGCCGACTCAATCCGACCCGGTAAGGTACTTTAGTCGTTGAAGATATCGGACTGTGCTTCGTTGGGCCTTTGTTTGGTTTCAGGGGTGTGGAGGGCGTTGTATTCTGTTCCTGTTGGGGCTCGTTCTCGTTCTCGTTCTCTCCGTCTTGTGGTGGTTGTTGGTCTGGTTCCTGTTGTGTATTTTCCTGCTTATGTGTAGTTGGATCGGAGTCAGATACCGGATTGTTCTCTTTATCGGAGGATGAATTCTGAGAATCTATAGCTGGTGCCGGTGCCGGTGGTTGTTCTTCGACTGGGTTCTTTCGTTTGCGGCCGCGCTTTTTGGGAGCTGGTGCGGGATTTGATTCAGGTTCTGGATCTGGGTTCTGGATTGTGGGAGGAGCCTCTTCATGTGCAGGAGGGGGGATGGTGGCGTTGTGGTCCTTATCCTTGCCGAGTTGGGGTTCTACCTCGGTTTGGGGAGTAATGGTGGTAGAAATGGGTCGCTCGTCTACCCAGATAACGTCGTCTTCGACTTCAGATTCGTATGTTTTTGTTAGGGTTATAGAGGTGGTTTTGCCGCGTTTGAGTTTCTTCTTCTTGGGCTCTTTGGCTTGCTTCTTTGGTGGGGGTAGGTCGGTGGTGGTTGTGAGGGGATGGGTTGAGGTTGTAGTTGTGGTATCTGGAGGTATGGGGAATGCGGTGGTGTCGTTTGAGATTAAGCCTGGCTGGTTGTCTTCTTCGTTGCGTGGTGGTTTCGGGTTCTTTGGGGGTCTGCCTGGCTTGCGCTTTTCGGGTTTATTGTTGGTAGTGGTATCCAAGGCAGTGGTGGCGGTTGTCACATCCTGGATTATAGTAGGGGTGTGGGTTTGGGCTAGTTCGTCGTCTTCGTCGTGCTCGGGGATGCTTTGTTTCTTCTTGCGGCCTCGTTGTTTCTTCTCCGCGACGGGGATTTCAATGGTTACCGGCCCGTTGAGCTCATCGCCACTTTGGTATGATTGCTGCACTGCATTGTCGCTTTTCGATCGGCTGGCTTTAGGGGATACCACGGAGGAGAATGGCTCTGTGTCGTGCGGGGAAAAGGGAACAGGTGGGACGGAGCCAGCCCGTCGAGGGGATTTGTATGCGATCTCGGTGTCGATGGTGCCGGTTGGATGGGTAGGGATGTTATTCTCTAGGTCGAAGCTGCCGGATGGGCGGAGGGATGATTCAAACAAGTTGTAGGATGCGCCTGTCGTAACCGAATAGTTGAAGCTCGTGTGATCATTGGGCTTCGCGATTGGCTCGTGGGTATATAGGTTTGCTGCGTCAAGAGGGTGCTGTCCGGTTCCGTAGGGCAGAGTGTCGGATATATCAGGCTGCGCTTCAGTATATATGGGTGGTTGTTCCGAGGAGCCATGGGTATGCTCATTAGGAACTAAGGCGATATCGTCATGCGGGGGAAATTCTGCAGCAATTTGTTCCTGAATAGCTGCCGAATCCGTCTCCGCGGCCTCCATATCACCGGCGTATTGATACCGAGCACGTTCCGTATTGTGTGTTTCATCATCATCGAATAGTCGTTGCTGTGCAATTCCGATCTCCGTCATCATTGATCCTATGTAGATATGCTTGTCAGTGGTTGATCCATTATGCACTTGGCGTATCCCTCACCAATCGATCCGCCCCCCGCATCGGCCGGTATCCATCGAGCTTCTCTTCGTTGCTGGGAGGATGAAACTACATGAAGTGCGGATTCTTGCGATTGCAGGAATTGATCGAAATTGATATTCATGTGCGAGTCATGGCCGGTCTCATGGGCTTGATAATGTCCTGAACCTGCCCGTATGTCAAGGTCTGTGTTATCGACTCTGGGTCGGGGAGAGAGGGGCCCCGCCAAAGGATCATCTTCATCGTCGGAGTCCTGGATCACGCGATTGGAGGACATTGGTAGGTTGGTATACGTCTGAAAACTAGAATTCAAGGAACATGCGATTTGGTATCATTCAATGCTAAGAGTCTAGCTGGTTGGTTCACTCGCGTCCCGCAAATCTGGGGAGCGGAGCGACGCGAAAGCACGTGCTGATAAGCATTTGGTGCCTGAGGTATGGGTTCTCACAAGTAGATGGGAACAAGCAAATGCGATCAGAAAGCGGACAAAACGAGAACAAAAGCGAGCATGATGCATCTACATAGAGGTATCTTCCAGTTCATTACATGCCTCATCACTCCATAGTACTTTGCGGTCGCATCACACCCCGACCGAAAAACTCACTGACCACCCCAAATCGGTCCTTAGAGCGTTGCAGTTCACCCTTGAACAGATCGTGCTGGTCTGCAGACTCGACCTGTCTCTTCCGAATGGCTTTGATAGTAGAATTCTGCGGTGCGCAAGCAGGACATTCAGCGTCTTCGTCCACTCGGTTCAGACATCGTTGGTGGAAGGAATGCTTGCAAAGAAAGTGCACCGTAGGAAGGTCCAGGGCGCCGCCACAGGACATGCATCGACGGGCCTGGAAGACAACAGGCTTGCTACCCAGTTGTTCAAGCTCCTTCCTCTTGTTCTCCGTTTCGGTGCTGTAGCTAGATATAAGGCGGCGGTTCTACACTATCGTTAGCTGGAAGAAGTCAATGAATACGAAGGCAACCAACAGTAGAAATCTCCTTTCGTTCCCGCTCAATGTTGTCACTGAGGTACTTCTTCAAGCGACCCATTGTGACAACTGCATTGTTGCTCAAAGTTTGAATGACTTGGAGTGGCGTCATGAGCCCTCCTTCGTCAATCTTCTTGAGCACGGCGTCCAATTCATCGCCAGCTTCTTCCAGAATCTGCGGGCTCGAGGCGAAGTACGTAAGTGCATCCACATATAGTTGAGGCTTCTCGGGGCCATATCTCTTCAATGCTTTGATGGCACCCTGAGTATCCTTCGCGGAGGTGAAAGACCTGAAGATGTCTGACAAGAGGCCTTCTTGCTCTCGTACGAGCGTGGAGCCCTCACGGAAGCCAGAAAGATCAGAGAGCAAAAGGACACTCGACGTGGAAATTGGTATCTGAACGGAAATTAGCATGATTCGGCGGAAAGAAACAGGTGGGTCTCCCTACATCCTTGCCTTCAATGAGCTTCTTTGCTTTGTCCTCCCATTCAACCTTCTGCGCGGCATCCTTCTGCCGGCTTGCGGTATCCAGGTACATCTCGAACAAAGTCGTGTAGAGGTCTATCTTATCATCCTCTTTCAAATTATCCTGTTGAATGAGAGCTTCCAGGAAGGATATAAATTCATCCGGATGGCCCACGAACGCCGAAAATGCTGTCCTTGGTTTGGGTATTTGATACTCCACCAACTCCTCGGTAGCCTTGTCTTCGGCTGGCGGTGCTTCTACTTCCGGCTTTGAGCCCGCGCTAGCGTTAATCAAAGACAGAGGGAGGAACGCAGCTAAGCTCTGCAGGGTACTGGTCGGCTGTGCTTGGTGTTCCATGGACGGTGCTTCGACTTCGGTCTTTGGAGTATATTGGCCCTTATAGTACTTGATGAAAAGCTCTGTGGTTTTCTCCGGGCAATTGGATAGCAATACTCGGGCATATTTCATCAAATTGTGGTATGCCTGAAATTGTCAGTGATCACAGTAGGGGTTCGACCGATGAGAATGCACGAACCAATTCCGGGTCTAACCTCCAGATGTACTCGACAGCTTCCGCATACTTCTTGGAGTCCTCAATCAAGATATCAACCACCATATCATTCTCGCCATACTTCGTAGCCAAGTACGCAGCTTGCTCAAAGTAGCCACCTTGCCTACACATAGCGATTGCAGTTTCCAGGTCAAACTTCAGCTCACCAGGAGCTTTGATGAACGCATCAAGTTTGCCAGTGTCCTTCAGCTTGGCGTAGCAGTTAAGGAGCAGGGTGGTATGGTCGACTGTAGCTCGGTCATGATCATGAAGCTCTTCAAGGTACTCGATGAGGTTATGTATCCGTTGTGTGTCCAGGTACTATGCAATAATCAGCTGCATGTTCCTCTACTAATGGTGCGGAAGATCCAACCTTGCGAATGACCTGAGAAGGTTCCGTGTTGTCAATTGCTCGAAGGTATTGTTGCATTGCCGTGTCGTAGTCGCCTCTCTGATACAGAAAATCACCGTATTTCCGGTAGATCGCATTCTGCTGAAGTGTATCAACGCCCGTTTTCTGTGCCAAGTTGATCGCCAAAATGTATAGGTTGCGCTGGTACAGAATTTCGAGCTTCTGTTGAAGGCTTTTCTCGCGATACCGATATAGCTAATTCGTGTAAGCCACAGCTATAACACTCGGTGGTAGTAACATACCTTTCCGTCCGTAGTGAGAAGAAACAAATCCCCCCATTCCACGAAGATGTTTTTCACGGAAGAGACGAGAGACTCGGAGTGCGCGATGAACTTCAAATCAGTATCAAGCAGGGTGAATGTGGTCGTCTTGAATATGTCGTCTGCCTGACCGACACCCATGTTGCGCAGAGTGTCAGGCTTGGCGGTCGTATCTCTAGGTGGGCAAACCAGAGCCACATAGTCTTTAAAGGTGGTGATGGAGTCTTTACGACTCTCAAAGGCATAACTCGGGCCTCGGCCGTGTGGTCCGTACGTATATATCGCATCCTCTCGGGCAACCAGAACGTCGCCCGTGTCTCTATCCAAACTCAGGCAACCAACAGCACATCCCATATCATCGAGTACGCGGGCCGGTTGTCCCTGTCCCCTTCCTGAGATAACCAGGGCCAGGATGCGATTCGTAGTCGAAATATACAAGGTCGATACTGGGCCGCTCTGCACCACCAGTCCCGTTATTGGCTCCTCCGATTCAAACACAATCCGCTGCCGGGCGCCGCGGTCATGGATCAGGTCACCGCGAATAATCGTGACGGATCCGTTCGCGAAGCCAACTGCCACCTGCGATAAATCATCGAGTGCCGCGAAAGCAGATACCTGCCCCGCATTCATTTAGTACCAAGCCGAAAAGGAAGGTGGTGCATTTCGAGCTATTATACGTACGGGAAACATTCGTCTCGCGTTCTGGACATGCGTCGTCGACAGGCATCGAGGCGTACCGGTCTTCTTTTCGGACTTGTCGAGGGCCCAGACCTTCAGGGCTGCCTCACTGGGGAGATCCTCCGTTATTGTTACCAACAATGATGTGCCTTCTATCTGTTTAATGTGTGCGATCGAACCAGTCTCCGATGCCCTGAACGACCGGACAAGCTTGAAGTTTGTCGAGATGATATGGACAAAGCCATCGCTGGACCCGAGGAAGATGTTCGCAGAGCCGGTGGAGAGGGAGATAATATCAGACTATGGTCATTCCGAGGTTAAGTGTGAGCGTGACGGACTTGTGTAGCGGAGAGGCCAAGGGAGGGGGTACATTGAAGATCGAGGAGCTCTCCTCCGGCAGCTTCACTGCGGAGACGTCGAAGAAGTTGAACGCTTTCCACTATTTCCACGTGAGTCGGGTTAGTTGTGACCCGGTCGCAATTCGCATAGAATGGTTGTCCTTACTGATGTCAACGCCATCTGGACGTGGCCCACCCGTGGACCAACGACAATGATAGCAAGGATGCGCGATGAAGAGCAAGCTGCGGTGACAGTTCGGCGGATGCTGGCAGTGGATGAACTCCGCCGCACTAGCGCCGCCTTAGTCCCTTGGGCCTCCCGACGTCATCCAATGTATGGAGACAATCTAGCACGCTTCAACTAGTAGTTAATGTAAATTTTATTATCAGAGAAGCTGCTAACCTTTTATGCTCGAACTAACATAAAGACTGGGAACCAAGGCAAATTAAATGCATTGTATGTCAACGTCAAAGACAATTAGTTGGTGGAATATCCAGCCATGCATGTGACATACGAATCTGGCCAAAATATATTCAGGAAGCGCTTTTCAACTTGACCACACCCACCATGGAGCCAAGGCGACACTTCTACCGGCTATACAAACACTGCCATCTATCTTTTTGCAGACCAAAATTCTCATCAATTGCGAGAATATCATCAAAGGTCGCATATTCAAGGAGATGCGCGCACACTACAACTCTCTCACAGAAACCACGAGTCTTCCCTGGTTCGGGATGGGAGAACATCGACCCTTCTGTCCTAATTGAAGAAGAGAGCATTCCAACCTATAAGCCCGAGAAATTCTATCCCGTCCGTATTGGTGAAATTTTCAATCATCGATATCAGGTTGTTGGCAAGCTTGGCTATGGTTCAACTGCGACCGTGTGGCTATGCCGTGATCTCTTGTAGGGCCTACTGCTTTGTCGCACCGTGGATATGGGCTCATTTAGATAGGGGCCATTGTTATGTAGCACTCAAAGTTTACATCACCACAACATCTGTTTCCCAGGAACTGCAAAACTATAACCACCTAAAATCAATTCGATCCGACCACGCAGGCCAGTCATGTCTGCGGCCGTTGTTGAAACGTTTCAGATTCTAAATCCCGATGGACATAGAATTCATACATGCCTTGTGCATCCGCCGCTAGGCATAAGCCTCGACCAACTCACATCACTTCTCCCTGGTAAAGTCATGAGCAGCTCTATGGTGAGAACTACTATGCGAAATATCCTCGCGGCTCTCGACTTCCTTCATACCGAAGCACAAGTCATACATACAGGTCAGTGACTCAATTTCACACGCGAGCTATCAGCCGGTCACGGTTAGACTTGCTCCTGGGCAAGATTGATTGGTTTTGCAGACATCCAACCAAATAATATTCTTCTGGGCATCAAAGATATTTCAATTTTATCCTGTTTTGAAGAAGCGGAGGTTGAGGCTCCCGTACCCCGAAAGTCTCTTTCAGATCGTATAATCTACGTCTCACGACCACTCCCTATTTCTTTTGGCACCCCTGTGCTCTGTGACTTGGGAGAGGGTCGATTGGGAACAGAGAACCAACAGGGTGATATCATGCCGGATATATATCGCGCACCGGAAGTCATTATGAACATGAAATGGGACAAGAAAGTTGACATTTGGAATGTCGGGATGGTGGTAGGTGACTTGTTGGCACGGTCACGGTGTTTGTTGAAAAGCTGACAGTAGCCGAAGATTTGGGATCTTTTCGAACGTCGTCACCTCTTCAAGGCCCGAAATGACGAGGGAAAGCTCGATGATGGTCAGCATCTAGCAGAAATGCAAGCTGTTCTAGGAATGCCTCCTGCACAATTTCTCGCTCGAAGCGAGAGGTCGCACCAATTCTGGGATGCCAACGGTTTGTACAACCCTTCCATGCCCGAAGCCGTTATGTAAATGCACTAAAAGTAGTAACTCCCTTCTTTCTTCTAGGCCAATGGAAAGGTGCGGTTCCGACTCCGGATTACGATCTCGAGACTCTGGAGGAAAGACTTGAAGACGGCGAAAAGGAAGATTTCTTGCGATTCCTTAGGCGCATGCTTTGCTGGTTGCCGGAAGAACGAGCTACTGCAAAGGAGCTGTTGTTCGATCCTTGGTTGATGCACGGTCTTTTCAGATAAACTTTGGGTATCGATTATTTGTCTTTTTCACACCTGTATGTACCCAATTCCTTGTGGCCCTCTCGGCTGGTCGAGAGTAGTCCTACCCAAACCGACGATGAGTATATTGGTCATTGGTATGGCTGGCACCGAAGGATATCTGCTGGCGGCTATATATGCATGTCATAAAGTACGGCTGAGTTCAAACCTGCGCACCAACGCCGGTCCAAGAAGTGTACCACAATATTGCATGGTATTTGTTGTGTGCAACAAGGTGATACAGCTAGGATAGAGTGTAAGCCCTATTCCCATTTCTCCCCTATATCATCCTATAATGAAGACGGAAAACCCCCGTAAGAACCTGGAAGGCATTCCCCGCTGTACGGCAAGAGAGAGGCCAGCCTACTGTTATCCATAGAAACAGTAATCTACATGCTAGTGAGGGGGTCTCTATGGCTAGCTAGGAGCAAAATAATTTGATTCAATACCATGGGTCAACATTTTGGAAAGGCGATCACTCCATGTCTCTCATATGACCCACACGTGTGCTGCAACGGAGTAGGGTTATGCATATAGAATTAATTAATGGGCAACGAGGATCAACGCATCGTGCCCGAGTCTGGCCAGCAATACAATCGTGCCAGCGACAGCGAAGCCTTAGCTAGGCCCACTACTAGTCACAGAAGCCTCCTGGTCCAGGTAGTCGATGAGTCGTGTAGTAATACTTAAGTTGCGCTATCTCGAGTATTGTTTTTCAAATATGATGGAAGGAAATCCCCGCCAGCTGAGGATGTTGGCTATCAACGAAATGAAATTCGAATAGTTCCACTGGAGAACCCTATGCTTGCACTGGGTAAGGGACATACACACAGTGTTGAACCATGTGAACAAACCGGAGCCATCCGCACACCCCAGGTTATGCATAATATACTGGGTGAGTCGCGTAAGTAACATTCACGATTAGCACAACGCACGCATGCACTACCGGTTTCATAGTAGCAGGGTAGCCCTCAGAACTCATTCCGATTGGTTATGAAGGGCATCCTCCCTCCGCTGGCCAGATTTGCGTGCAGCTGTTGACAAGCACCCATGAGCGACTTGGGGCTCGGATCTCTCGGTAAATGCTCTCTCAAGTCGTGGCATAGAAGAGGGACAAAGACTGAGCCTGTGACCCATAATGGCACACTTCCTATGCATGTCGCTCATGGCCTCTAAGGGATACGAGAATAAGTCCCGAGACCTTTCATGCTAGAGTATGTGCACTAAAGCATAGCCGCATAATTCAGATAGATCAATGAATGGGATAAGTCTTTGCAGATGCCGCTCATATCAGATAAAGGAACTTGGCTATGTGGATGGGCAAATCCGCTTCCCTAATGCCAAGAAACATTTTCTTCATGTTTCACTTCCAGGTATGCATCCATATGACAACGACCAGACAGCTCTGTAATGTCGTACTACTAGTAGGCTTCCACTAATGAATCAATATCAAGCATCTCACCAGAAGTCTCACATGTTACTCAGTCATTTCTTCCTGGTCTTACTTACCTGATTGTATCTGGAAACAGCCGATCTATTCTGACTAGATCGCTGATACAATCAAAATCTCCATCACCTTTTCAAATCTTCGTGTGAAAAAGGATCCTCCTATCCATTTCTTAATCCATTTCTCTCTCTCTCTCTCTTCTTCTTTCATTTTTCATTCATAAATAATCTGAATTTCTTTTCTTTTTCTTGTTTTCTATTTTGAAGTTGCCATGGCTCCTCTCGACGTTGTAAAACATCTTTACTAATGCCTGCCTTAAGCGGGAGATGCCAGTCACTACCCTCCATTAATCGATGAGTACAGCAGCAATCGCATAAGTGGGTGGACATGATGTAGGCTAGACTCCTAAAGCTGAGTTTATAAATAGCAAGTGATCTGTTCCAATAAGTACTGGACTTCCTGCCCTCTATGTCTGTGTCAACTTGACGAGCCAATTACTATCTACTAACAAACCATTCACATTGCACAAGAGTTCCACAGAAAACAGACTCTTTTTCGGACGCACAAAAGACAGCTCGCATCTCACGGACACAACCTTGCATTGCACACGCAGCAAACTACGTCAACGCACCCCACTATCTTGCTAGTTCTAGAGTCTTACATGCCCTGCCCAGCAGCTGACAGGTCATTGAAGCAACTGTGATTGTTTTCTCGTTAGTGTGGCCATCATATCATTGCCATCCAGGCTCGCTGATAATGATACTGGAACATCATCCTGCTACTCTCATAGCCCGAAGATATCTTTACGTCACCATTTATGCACAATGCCTTCAGACACTTGTACGGCTAGCCGCATTCTTGACAAGCTGCACGAGCACGTTATGAGAATTAGAAATAGTGTGCCTGAGAACGGCCATATAGATTTACATGATCTAGACAGTGTTGAACACGTGATGAACTTTGATTTCGAGCACTTGAATGAGAAAGCGGTTCCCCCTCTTTACTTTGAACCCATGCAGCCAGTCGAGTTGAAGCAGTTCCCACCCGATCCAGCACAAGTGCGCAGTTTCTTCGACATAATCGAGCGTGGCAACGATGATTCCAGCTGTTGCCGCCAAATTTCTGACCTCATCTCTGACTATGCAACCCGCAACGCATTGTCTCACCAACATCTTCAGATTGTGGAGTAAGTCCTTCTCAATTGACTCGCTAGCTGATCTTCCCTAACACGCTTCTAAACCAGGGCACCTGACAGTACCTTTTACTTGGAAGCGAGCCTCGCATGGCCTTACAGTGGAAGAGGTTGGTGGGAAGTTTGTTATGTGCTAGAGCCAGAGCCCATGAATGGAAAGGGCTATCCCCATCTAGCCCTTCACCTCCTTGACAGAACGGTAGCTCACGAGGACTCAATTCTCTTCTCGGAGTTCAGTGCATTGGTTATTGCCATGCGAGGGCGTGTACACCAACCAAAGATAGATTCGGAGTCAGAACGGGAAGAACTTTATGAACATGAAGACGCTGGTGAGGAGTATACAAACTTCTTACCCATGTCCTGCTCAGCCATGTTTCCTGATGAGGAAATCTTTCCTGTACTGCTCATCTCTTGTGTCCTTCCACAGCATGCAAGGATATTTGCTGCATGCATTCATCAAGGGAAGCTGGTGATTAGACAGTCCAAACTCTACAGCTTTCAATGGAGGGACAAGGCACCAGTGGAGTTATTTACTCGACTCTTCCTCAGCAGTCCTGTGGACACCAGGGGCGAGACCCATCCCGAGTTGTTTAGGGCCAGTAATATACCTCTTGAGGCAGGTAGCTAGCCGCCCCCCCTGCACGTTTCTTATGCACCTACCTTCACTGCACTGTCTGCGTTTACTTGCATAGCAACGTTGGGGGTTTGAAGGGGTAGTAGGCTCTTTCTTCCCTTTTGTTTCTTCATTTTTAGTATTAATAATTGCTGCTTTCTCTGTCCTTTATCAATGACTTCTCTTCCTCATCAAAAGCCATCTTTTTTCATATCTTCACTGTATCTTCCATGTCAAGCCAAGGCCTTCTCTCATGTAAAATTATCAATCATTGATGATTATCTGGATTTAAAAATGCCATCTGCGTGTCCGAAAAATTCAGACGAATGGATAAAGGCAGCGAGGGCCTACAATCTCACCGGCAACACCTTGTGCACCTGGCCTAATCTCCTTTCCGGGTCCAAAGTGTCCAAAGAACAATTTCTCTTGTACCGCATTGTCTGCCCCGCACGCAAGAAGCCGAGAGAATTAGATCTCACATGGTTTGGTGTACCTCATAATACCATTGCCGATGCCCAAGAGATGCTCAACCAGAGTGATGCCTATCGGCATTACCTTCACAATATCCAAAATGGCGACTGGGCTAACCCGACTTTGGGGGTTTTCGGGCCCGCTCTAAGGCTCCAGGCAGAGATTTGGAAGGGATGGAATTCTAAGAGAGTAGACGCAACTGATGAGGATACTGTGAATTCCGCTCTTATTGAGCTGCTCAATGCCCTGACCTCCACAAGCACTGATGGAGTTGCTGGTGGAGGACATACAAGAGGCGGTTGACATATCAAGCAAATGGGAACAGTTACACGGCCGTAACGGACGGGCAGTTGGAAGACCGACATTCCCAACGCATTAATCTGCCAATTGAGTGTGAAGGCTTTCTAAGAGACCGGAGACTCTCGAAAGTGACGATGCAGGAGGCGTCGCAGCTGGTTGCTCTGGTCAACCAGCAACCTGGTCAACCAGGTGCTGATGGCATGTACCGGTAAGTGTCATCCTGTATGTCTACACTCATCGGCTGTCAGGCTAACAATTGCAGTCACTACCTTGCGAGCCAGTGTGGAACCCAGATCTTTATCAACTCTCTGGTTTACCAGAAGAAATGGATTGATTACCTCCAAACTGGGCAGTATATAGATGCCTTTGCGACATTACAGTCTTACGGTCCCTACTATATCGACAGTATTCGTGATGTCAGCCGGTTCGCGTTAATAATAGTGGCACTATCGTTATACCTCTCTTAAGTGTTGATCTACCTGTCTTTACACGGCTTCTGCCGCTAAGGGAGTGGAAATCGAGCAACGCATTAAAACAACGGCAAGGTGTCAGATGAACCCTGAAACTCGACAACGGGGGGAAGAACATTATCAAAAAGACACAGTCACAAAGAAGCTGCCAATGCAGTTATTGGTTAACATCGTCGTGATGTTCATGCTTGCCTTCTTGAACCCGACACGGGCGAGGGATCGAACAGTTGCTCCAATGGTTTCAAGTCAATCTCTTCTACTCCTTTTTGGAGGTTCGTGATGTAACAAAGGATGTGGTGGTCGGAGTTGTACCCATTGTTATTGCCAGACAGACTTTCTTTCTTGTCCGGTTTAGGAATATATACACACGTGCGTACCCGGGGCAGTAGGGAGACTTGGAAGAAGTTCATGATTTTCTTTGTCGTCTTGTTTTCTTACCCTTCTGTTCTTCTGCTCTTTTTCCTTTTCACTTCGTTTCGAAGAGATGACCACCCATAGACTACTACTACAGGCGGATTTGTGCTTAGATGGCAGAATATAGAGCCATCTAGAAGACGCTGCTATTGTTCAATCATAAGTTGCTAATGCAATGGTCTTTTTCACAAATCAAGCATATCATTTTCACATACTAGTAGTATATTGTAACTATCGAGAGCTCTAGTCTGTTTGGCTCATAGCCCAATGATACAGCCAGGTACCTGACAATATGTGCAATCTGCGTCGCCGCTGCACGATTTGCAGACAAGATCATGTAATTGTCAATATGGAAATAACATATTATATACACAAGGTATCAAAATGTACTGGCCCTAGCACAATAACACACTGTCCAAAGTGGAATGACCCAGTATAGTTCCAGACTGTAAAAGCAAATACAAAGAAAGCCACTTAGACATATATATATATACCCACCCCGTACTAAACAATTAAAGTAAAGGAAACAAAGCCCGATACGCCTGCTATGCATGCAATAATTTCCGCCCTTCACCTATCCAACGTTACCGCAGAGCGACTGATCCCCGCCGAAGACGACGGTCTTGACTTAGCGCTGCTCCTGCACTGCTGGATTTCATGATTGATGTCGAAGCTTTGCTGTAACCAGCTCCCTGCGTCGGCAATTGCTTGACTTAGATTGAAGCTGTCCGGACCCGGGGCGACACCTTGTCCGTCTTGGACGGTGGTCGGATGAGAATGTGATAGAGCCATCGGCAATGCGCTGCCTTCTTGGGTGTCGTCTGGGGTTTGTTGTTGGGCGGCAGGGGATTTGTGCGGGAGGATGGTTGGGTCTTCGTCTTCATCCTCGTCTTCCGATTCCGAGGACAATGGCGAGCCTGTGTTGGGGGTGGCAGTCCCTCGGTCTATCCTACTGGACGATGGCATCTGGGGAGATATGAATCGGGACCTGGCTTTCTTTTCTGTGCTGAAGGTGAAGGGCGTGACGGCGTCGATGATGCATTGTGTGCTCATTGGCATATGCGCAGTTCCTGGATGGATGGCTCGGGAGTATTTACCGATTCTGCTAGTGTTCATTCGATGGAAAGGGGTAATGTCGTTGGCGGGTGATGAAGGTTGATTATGAGTTTCTCCTGGGTTGGGAACTTGACTCTCCAGATCATTTTGGAAGGATTTCTGCGCGTGTAATAGCGCTGCCTGCGTGTTGAAATGCAAATCTGGAATGGTGTCGTTGTCGCATTCTGAATTGGGTTTCACTGCGGAGATCGTCTGCAGTGAGGTAACATTTTCAGCCAGAGCTGGATTTACCGACACTCGCTGGGCGGAAGGGTATTTATCGCTGATATTGACACCTTCAGCAGTGGTGGTTGATGATACCTTCCGTGATTGAGAGTTTCCCTGGTGATCAACAGTACCAGAACGTTCGGATACATTTGGATGATGCGAATTATCCTCGTTCACCTGCATATCGACTTCAATGGCCTGCATTGAAGTTGTGTTTGGAGGTACTGGTGCGGGTTGACTCGAGACCCGGCTGTCTTCGACAACAGTTGTTTGATGAGAGACCTGTTCATTCTCCAGCTGCATCGGGACTGGCGATGTGGTGCCGTGTTCCGGATCAGCTGAGCGTTTCCTACGACGAAATTCGAATTTCGATAGGTGGGACGTTGACGAAAGTACACATATTGAGTTCTCATGGTCCTCCGTCTCCGGTCGAACTCCAGGGTGTCTGCTGGTGAGTTGAGCTTTGACACTGTCCGGAACATGGCTGTCAAAGGTAGTCCCGTCTCGGGAGTCTGTACGTGCTCTCAATATATTCTTCGTTGTGACTCGATAATCTGTGCCCGGAACTTGTATTGTGTAATGGCCTCCCTCCCGATGTCGAGACGATACTGTAGTTGTTGGAGATGTAGGGGGATCAACTTTTCGAAAGTTGATTTCTGCGCGGTCCCTCTTCAACCAGCTCTGCTCTGTATGCTGGAATGGGGTCAACGCATCCGAATGTCCACTTGTCTCGATTGTCCTCTTGTGCAGTGCAATGGGTTTTGGTGTATTGTTCGAGCTTGATGTCCGACCACGACTATCTCGTGGCCGTTTGGATGAGGGTTCCCCCGCCGTGCCACCTTGAGACTCTCTTTTCTTCGAGGAATATGTTGGGTCGGACAGAGGAACAGCAGACTTCGAGCGAGATATGCCTAACGATTCACGGTATAGGGGCCGCTTCTGCGGGATCGTCTCTGGGATAATTGGTCTTTCTGAGTGCTCCGAGTGTATCCCTACATGACCACCACCAGTCGTTCGCCTGTCTTTCTTCCAGGGGTTGGCCCATCCGTTTTCGAAGGGTCCGCGAAGCGAAGCGGACAAGATGAAAAGTGGGGTGCCATGGCAATAGGCCTGAGCCAGCTTCTCTATGCGCTGATCCCGAGCCGCCCGGTCATCGTCATCTAGATCATCGTCGGAAGCGATAAGGGGATCGGAGTCGAGGTCTGGCGGGGAAGGCGAGATTGTTTCCAACGAGAGCGGGGAAGCGGGTGGACGGAGTGGCATCGGGGAGACAGCGGTGGTCGGTCGGGGAAGAGGGTGAGGATGGCAGGGGTGCAGCAGTCTGGGGCTGACTGCATCTGAGCTCGAGCAAAGAGGAATGTGGCGGGATAGATCCTCATATCTTCTGGGGCAGGCAGATGTCAATGTCAGGCATCATCAGCAGCATCATGCATGATCGAAGTTGGACCGATGCGGTCAAGATCGCTTTCGCGGGCAAAAAAGCACTTAACGCGTCCACCGGCGCGGCTACCCCAGCAACGGAGGTCTCAGCTTTTCGGTAAGCCCCGGGTTAGTTTCATCATTGACTAGAATAGTTATTTCTTTAAGACTGTTCTGATCAAGAAGTTTGGCTGGCTACGGATTATATACAGCTCATTGTTCGGTTCGATTTAGAAGCCAGTGCGAGTGAAATAGATGATTGACACCCCCTAACACTTACTACCTACTAACGAGGTCATCTGATCATCATCTTGGATAGGGAAAGTGATATTCACTCCGGTCTAATATATTGGTGCTAGTTCTGGCATGCGACTGGAGGACTTGGAGCCGCAGTTGCAGATCTAAGTATAGTCGATGCGGTGTGCAGTGTAGTCTTTAGCCAGAGGCTGACAATACCTCTGGGTGACCAGTTGGAGATGCAATTCGCTGTTCGCTGTCAACGACGAGGCTGGTGGTTACTACGCCCTTGACCCAGAGGCTGGGGACGAAGTTAGAATAGATAGTCGCGCCGTTGTGAGCAGGCTCCAGAATAGAGGAGAAGACTATACGAGCCATGCTGGAACTGGTATGGTTCTCGCAGACTTTCGATGACGGAGGATTTATCCGCTCTAGACGGGCTGACGCAGTCGTAAAGTTCTAACTACTTGATTTGTGTTGTATACTATAAGCCACTTGCAGTGAGGCTCAGACTGTGTTCTTTGTATGTCATCGTGGCATTCCCCCCTGAAGGACACGTACATCTCCTCAACATAATCTACCCATTGGCGAGAATAATGGATGACACCAGGCTGCTCCTCCGTACACATCGCAAGGTCTTCCGGTTCGGGCCAGCCAAAGGATTTTACCAGAATCCGAACCTCCGCACGGAGCAAGGGTGTGGCGGTGGTAGCTTATCCCGGAACCGAAAAGCCCCTATTTAGGGGAATTTTAGTTGCACGGAGATCGGGGACTAGACTAGTAGTACACAATCTTGCCTCAGATCCAAGGGAGCCTCGATGGGGTCGGGAAACCTCGAACCGGTCCCCAATTCGGTCGTATTCGTTCCGTTGCCCAGAACCTGGAAATTGCAGACCAGAAGATACTTGTGTTTTTTTGGGTATCCCAACTACAAGAATTTGATGCACTACACATCTAGTGTGTATGTGTGTATATGTGTGTATATGTGTGTATGTGTGTATGTGTGTATGTGTGTATGTGTAGCGTTGTTATGCAAATGCGATCATAAAATAGTGAATGCTTATGATTTCCATGCTAAGATGAGAAAAGGATGGTTTGGCGATGGTCCGGCACAGCCGACGATCATCATCCATGGGCTGGTTGAAGAGAAAGAGAGAAAGAGAGATAGCGCGGGTGGAGAAACAATAGAAGGGAGGGAAAAAAAGGTAAGAAAATGAAAGAAAAAAAAAAGGGAACCCCTGGACCAACAGAAAGTGGATCTCGCACGACTGACATCAACTCGCTCAACTCTCTTTCCTCGCCGTCGCTCTTCCAGCCTGTCTTTTTTTCCCCTTCCCCGTCCAGTTTCTCACATTCACATCTTTCTCTTCTTTATTTATTCGCTTCGTTTGCTTCTTGTTCTTGTAATACTATTTGTCTTGGGGGTTCTATTCAAGTCTTTCCCTATTTAAACCCGTTCGGTCCTTGCTTGTTCAAAATCGATCGCCGAGGTTCTACCTCTTGATCCTCGTTTCGCCCATTCCCGCTCCGCTCGGTATCTTATCCCGTCTCTTCTCTTCCCCTCCCTCGATCTAATCGATAAAAGTGAGACCAGCGACTACTCGAACGTCGAGAATAATCAGCAGAATAGTTGGAGTATACAATCATGGCTCGTGTACGGAGAAGGTCGAGTAACCTGGGGGCGGACATTCGGGGAGACACCACCGCTCCCGCCATGTCCACCATGAACGAAGTCAGCCCCATTGAACCCGAGGCTCCTAAATGGGACAAGGTATGGATCTCTCACGACTAGACGTCGACTCTCGCTGGGGTTCCTCATCCCCCCCGCTCACTCCTCCGCCAGGCCTTGCAGAATCAATCCGCCGATAAACTCTCCAAGCCGCATACGAAGCGCCGCAAGAAGTCCCCGCTCCGTCGCTTCAAGGATGTGTGTCTCAAGCATACTTGGCTTTTGCCTCTCCTCATGCTCATCGTTCTTCTGTCGCTGTACGCGATCAACCCGACGGAATCCAATCCCATGCATAGCGCCATCTTTTTGTCTTATCCTCTGCCTCCAAAGGTCCCCGGTGGTCCGATCATGTATGGAAAGGGCCCCAAGGATATTACCTTTGTCTCATTCTACACGATTGTTCTGTCGTTTACTCGAGAATTCCTGATGCAGCGCCTTATTCGGCCTTTCGCTGTATACTGCGGGATCCGAGGCCGGGGCAAGACTGCCCGTTTCATGGAGCAGGTGTACACCGCGATCTACTTTGCCATCTTCGGTCCATTCGGCCTGTACGTCATGAGCCGGTCGGATATCTGGTACTTCAACACTACGGCCATGTTCGAAGGGTTCCCCCACCGGGAGCACGAAGGGTTGTTCAAGGCATTCTATCTGCTTGAGGCTAGTTACTGGGCTCAGCAGGCGATTGTCCTGATGTTGCAGTTGGAGAAGCCGCGCAAGGATTTCAAGGAGCTGGTTGGACACCACATCATCACTCTGGCTCTGATCGGATTGAGTTATCGCTTCCACTTCACCTACATGGGTATCGCCGTCTACATCACGCACGACATCTCTGACTTCTTCCTTGCTGTGAGTGATCCGATTCGAAGTCCACACTTTTTCTGTTCTTCATGCTGATCGAGTTGCCGTGCAGACCTCCAAGACCTTGAACTACCTCGACCACATCATCACTGTCCCTTACTTTGGTATGTTTGTGGGCATGTGGATCTACCTTCGCCACTATCTGAATCTTAAGATCCTCTGGGCTGTGTTGACCGAGTTCCGCACGGTCGGACCTTTTGAGCTGAACTGGGAGACTCAACAGTACAAGTGCTGGATCAGTCAGTACATCACTTTTGCCCTGTTGGCCAGTCTGCAAGCCGTGAACCTCTTCTGGCTCTTCCTGATCCTGCGCATCCTGAAGAACTACATTTTCAACAGCATCAAGAAGGACGAGAGAAGCGAAGATGAAGACTCGGAGGAAGAGGAAGTCCCTGTGCCGGACACGGACACCCACGCGACCCTTGCGACCGGCGTCGAGGGAGCCACCGTGACTGCACGTGGCAAGGAGAACCAGACTCCGCAGGTGCTGGTCAACGGCAAGCCCGTCAACTCCAAGAACTGAACACAGTTTCAGGATCAGGACTGACTCCCTTCCTGAGGAGATCTATGTATCTCCAATCCACCATCCACTACCCACGTGGACTGTATGAATTTTTCATGGGGTTTGTTTATATTGTATGAACGGGAACATTTACGACAGCCTTGTTTGGACCTTGTTCAAGACAGAATTTTAACATTTTTTTCCCCCAACCATTACGGAGTACTATTATTTATTAACATTTTTTGTCCGGTGCTTATGGTCTAATCGGCATCTCATGTATTCATTTCATTTCTTTTTTTTTTTCCCTTTGCCTTTCCATATTAGTCATTCATACGAAAGCATCATGCCCCAGGCTGCAGCATGCCAGGAGCGAGACGGGACAGGGTGGATCTTATAAACTTAACGAGTGTTTTTCATCATCAATCCATGATTTACCGGGGTTCCAGGCCCCCAAATCTGTGTCATGGACATAATATAATAATAGACCATTGTGCTGATTCGTCGAGCAAATCAATCAACATACTCTCTCTCTTCCGTAACTAGTATATCACGAGCATCCCTACCATTACTGTACCTAGCCCCTGAACCACAGCGCCCCCTCCCAGAATCTAAACTCCTACATAGCACCGTCTCATGCAATACATACGGAGTAACTAACTACCTACCCAACTACATACATATCCATACTACACGATCAGTCAAACATACACACATAGCTAAGCCACCCCAGCCCAGCCCGACACCCTAAAAGAGTCTCGTGCAGCGCACGTCCCCCCCTGCGCCTCCACGATGACATCAAAAACCAGACTAACTAATTACGTAGTTTACTACTAACTACCTAGTAACTATCTAGTAACTATCTAGACCAACCAGATAACTTAAGTACGTCAGTCACGTCACAGTCCGTGGAGAGAGAGAGAGACCTTGCATGTTGGAGCTGAGCCTTGTTTCTATTTTCTCCATGGCTTGTGTGTTCTGTTTCTAGTGAGATCTGTCTAGTTCATAGGGGGTTTTTTTGGTAAATTGTGGTGGGTGGGGAAGAAATTGAGGCTGTGATGTGAGGAAGTGGTCTGAGTTGAATATGCAAATTAGAGTGTTTGTCAAACATGAGAGAGGTGATAGAAAGGGGTATTGGGGAGGGAGGAATGGGGACTGTTGCTGATTATGGGATTCAAGAAAGAGAAGAGGACGGAAGGAAGGAGAGAATGAGTAGGAATAGTACTACTAGACGTAGTAGTAGTATGTGGTATACTGTCCATGAGTTAATCAAGGCGCTGCTTATAGTAGTTACTATACAGGCAATGGATGCTTTTTTCCCCCTACAAGTACAATAGAAAAATGTAAAAATAGCAACAACCGTGCTTTTGATTTAACCAATGAATATATCCCATGATATTGTATCCAGGTTGATTGATCAATCATTGCCCAGCAATGACTTGCTGATATCCTGGATGTGAAGAGAAGACCTTTGTTAGATTAGCCAATACAGTACAGTGATGATATGGTATGGTATGGTATCGAATGCTCTATTCATAAATCGAGGTAGTATGTTCCCATCGTAAACTTCATGAGAAGAGAAGATCGTGAGTCTTGCATATTGTAATCTTCGGAACCTGTCCACTTTACAGGAATGGTTCTGTGTTCTTGAGCACCTGAGCTCATCATGGCGATTGCCCTAGAGCGTACTGCTTTGCAGTGTAATGGGCAGGGTTGGTTCAACGCGAAAGCGGTGTCAGTAATGCTCAGTTTCTTATGCGGAGTCGGACTGGAACCGGCCGTCCGATAAGAAAGGTGTGCGCATGAAGCATGTCCTGCATGTCAGAGGTCGCTGGTACAATTGCGCATCTGAAAAAGATTGCTTGTAGTCCAGCAATCAGTGAGAGGATGAGAGTGAGGGCAAAACTTGGAATGCCATCATGTCCCCATCCACTTCCAGAGCAAACGCATTAACTGTTTCTGGTGGATTGGTTTCCCAATATGATCGCTCATTCCCTGCTTCGCATAATCCTCTATATCTCCCGGCATGACGTTCCCCGTAAGCGCAATGATAGGCATCTCTAGTCCCATTTGCCGGATCTGTCGTGTCGCCTGTACGCCATCCAGCACCGGCATGCCGATATCCATAAGAATTGTATTGTAGGATAAAGGCTGCTGCTTCACCAGTCGAACCGCCTCTGCCCCATCCCATGCAGTATCAATCCGCGCGAAGCCCATGTTCTGGAGAAGCTTGAGCATCATCATCTGGTTAACCAGGTTGTCCTCAACCAGGAGAACGTGTTTGTGAGGAGCGATGTCGTGGATATTTCGTTCAATGTCACCGACGTCTTCAACGGGTGTCCCTGTCCCAGTCGTTCTAGCGGGCGGCGCCACACGCACCCGATGCATCTTGGCTGTGACCCAGAAGACACTGCCATGTCTCTCAGGATTAGGTCGGTATCCGACACTTCCGTCCATGAGTTCGGCCAAGCTTTTGCAGATCGATAAGCCAAGGCCCGTGCCTTGGTATCTCTTCGAACCAGTCTCGGCGAAGCGTGTGAACGGTGTGAACAATGAGCCAAGAGCATCTTCGGGAACGCCAACGCCCGTATCGGCAACCTCCGTCCGGATGTAATATACACTAGGATCCTCCGCATCTTCCGAGAAGGTGGTGTTGATCTTGACGTAGCCCTCCTCGGTGAACTTGACTGCATTGCCGACAAGATTCTGAAGGACCTGACGGTACCGCAACGGATCACCCTCGACCTGGGATGGGAAGTTGGATGAGATAGAGCTAGTCAGTTGGACACCGGTTTTCAGAGCGCCCTTGCAGTTGCGCACGACGGCGTTGGTAATACTGTCGACACTGAAAGTATCAGGATGCAGAGTAAAAGACCCGGATGACAATTTCGAATAGTCGAGGACGTCATTGATGACTTGGAGCAAAACATTGGTCGAATCTTCGATGATAGAGGAATATTCGCGCTGCTGTTCGTTCAAGTCCGTGGCCAGCAGTGATGTAAGGGCTAAGAGCATGCCGTTCATTGGCGTGCGAATCTCATGGCTCATGTTGGCCAAGAAGTCTGTCTTTAATCTCGACGATTCTTCAAAGGCTGCGATCATGCGGGTTTCGGCTGCATTGCGTTCCGTTAAATCGCGAGTGACCTTGGTGAAGCCAATATGGCGACCCAGGGCGTACATGGGAGTGATCAGCACGTTGGCCCAGAACCGCGAACCGTCCTTGCGGTACCGCCAGCCTTCGTCCTCCACTTTGCCCTCCCGGAGACATACCTCCAGTTCTTTGCCGGGCTTATCCGCCATGCGATCCTCCAGGCTATAGAAGGTGGAAAAGTGACGTCCGATGATCTCCTTGGCCGAGTACCCTTTCAGCAGGGCCGCTCCCGTGTTCCAAGTTACAATATGGCCATGTGTGTCGAGCATGAAGATGGCATAGTCCTTGACCGTGTCCAGTAGGACTTTGTAAGTCTCATTGGAGTAAGACTCATGGGGCTTGGACACCGATGTAGCCTGACGCTTGGTGATATCAAGTGCCTCCAGGACAATGTATAACAGGTTAGAGTTTTCAAAGATGGGGGTGATGCGAAGAGTATAGCAAGTGCTAGCGTCATCTATACAGATTTTGTCAATCGACTGGACGTCCTGCGTCGTGATGGCGGCGCGCAATGCGCCAAAAAGAATAGCAACATCTAGAGCCGGCAGGATGCGTGGACAGATGTCACAGATGAACCGGCCGAGCAACAGCGCCCTTGACAGCCCGGCAAATGCCACGTGGGAATCCGATACCTCCACGACATGTAACGAAGGATCAAGAATGACGCTGGGAGTGGGGGTATAGCGATATATTCGACCTAGAGCCGCTGGAGGTTGCTGCGCATCGGTATCGGGCATCTTCTTTTGACGGTGATGCGGCTTGTCATGATCGTGAGGAGATTGTTTCGACTCGACCTTGAGCTTTAGATGGTTCACCTCGTCATCATCCTCATCATCCGGTGGTGTGGTTACCATAGAGAAGTTGAGAGGTTGCGCTTGGGTCTTATTCTCGATATCGAGATGGAACAGGCGTTTGTTGAGATCCATGGCCCCCACATTTGGCAATAAGAATCGTTGCCTCACGCGATCTTTAGACGGCGGGGACAGGGATCTTGCAACATCAGAGCCGGTCCGGTGGGAATAGGGCATGGATTTTTTTAAAAAAAGGAAATAGAGGGGAGAGGAGGAGAAGGGATGGAGGAAGGTAGAGAGAGGGGAAAGATGTAAGGGAAGAATTAAGGAAGAGTGATGATGAATATCCGGAAGGGGTAAAGGTAAAGGTACGGATAGAAAGAAAATGAATAGACGTTGACAATACTGGAATGGGATGGGATGGGATGGGATGGGATGGGGTATGGTTTTTGGTGGCTTTTTGGTGTGAGAGGAGGAAGGCAGAGAGGATGCGGTGGTGGTTTTACTTACTCTTAGTTACTTACTGTATGGATGATGGTGTCAGATGGGCAATGAGGCCCACCGGGATGGGACGAGGCGCACCATCGACGTCAACAGGGAGGGAGCAGAGGATGGGATGGACCAACCAGTGGACGGAAGGTTGGGCCGGTTGTCGCGGGGGAAAGGCAACTTGGACTCTCACTGGCCACCGCGATCAGCCGCCAGCCCGTGGATCCTTTTAGCAGCAGCAAAAGAGGAGCCAGCAATGATGAAGATGAATGGGAGAGGCTGACTTGAAACTGTAAATCAGAATAGAGAAATCAAAAACAAGCTGGGAAAATGCCTGCCGTCTTGTCTCCTCCCCTTGTGCCTTTCCCGGGGGATGCGCCTCATTCTCCTCCGTACTCCTCCTTCTTTTTGGTCTCCATCCGCGTTGGGTTTGAATACGCCCTCCGCCATCTTCGGTAGAGAGACACACACAGAAAGAGAGACAATCAAGTCCAGAAGGTTTAAACAGGAAGAAAAATTCTGCACTCGTTCAGATTCCGGTTTCAGGGTCTGGAATGCCTGGGTCTTTGACCAAGGCAGCGCCCGCTCTTAGCTCTTTTTTTTATTTTTATTTTTTATTTTATTTTTCATCTTTTTTCCCCCACTAGGCGCGCCCATTGTTGGTGTACTTTTGTTTCTCTTTTTCTGATTTTCTTTTTGGTGCTGACCTCATACCATCTGCCGGCGTTTGATTATGGAGATGGCAGATGTTTTGGGAAGCGGGAAGGAACCTGCGAGAATCTCAGTCCGCAGCAGACCGCTAAACTACTATTTTGTACATACGACTAGTCCAAGAGACTATACCCGGACGACTTCCGGCTGGAAACAAATTCCCCTTGCAGTGTGTGGCGTCTGGCAAATAGAGATAGGAAAAAAAGAGAGTACATAGTCATGTCATCGGTCGGAAGATTGGAATAATTACTTTGTCTGTATCTTCTGTAGTAGTCTTAGTGGATAAACGTCTTAGTTACCTATCTATGGATACCGTAGCCGTAGTCGGCAAAGAATCGTGCAGAACTTCCATAATAGAAGAACTTATGAAATAAGCAATCTCTTCCAATCGCACTAGTCCAGTGATCATGCAACCCAGTCGGCGCCTTTTTTTAATCTATCCCACACTCGCCTACCACTCCCCTGCCTTGGGTTCAGGTTCAGTGGCTGCTGCACCGTATCGGGATCAGCGACCGGGAAGATCCGCTGATAGAAAAGTAGAAGAAAATAAAAAGACAGAAAAGTACCTACTTACAAAGTAGTTTGCCTGGCAAGAATACAGAGGTGGATGCATGCATACATGCATGCATGCATGGCACACACACACACACACACACACACACACACACACACACACACACACACACACACACACACACACACACACACACAGGGCGTGGAATTATGTCCGGAGGTCGACCTCCAATCCTGGATCGGTCGCCATAGCAGGTTTCATCAGGCTTATCGTCCCCTAGCCTGGATCTTGTTCCAAGGGATTGATAGAACTTGCAATCCCCGGCCAAATCCCGCTGACATTATAGTATGGTACGGTGTAACTAGTAACTTAGTTATGCTATTATTGTCCAACCCTGGCGACGAATGCTTTGTGGATTGTAATCCGGAGGTGACACATGACCGACCCGGTTCTCCCTCCATCTGGATCTTCGATCGGGCTTCATGAGCTCAACAACGCACACTAACCAACATTAATAGTTGGATGTCATCATGTGTACATTGCATTGTAGGCAGTTGCCAAATTGTCAAAGTACCCTGATGTCATTCTATTCTTATAAACCTTCGGTATCTGTCAGAAATCTCCCATTGCGCCCGGTGGCAACAACAGCAGTAAGAAACCGAAACCTCCGAAGGTATTATTTCTATACAGTACGTACACAGTACATGACTCTACCGGATGGCTACTGCCTGGAATCCAGACTCCACAAAATGTTCACTTAGACCATTCGAAAAGTCGTCCGGAACCGTCAATTTCCAGGAAATGGGAGCACGTTAGCACCGACTGCTCCAGTTGAAGGGAGGGTGAACAGTGTCAGTGTCAGTGTCGCATGGACGAACCTCGGACCGAGAGACATCCGTCTAAAGAAAGGCCTTCGGTTTTCCGGTTTGCCCAGTCTTGACTACTCGACATTGCACACGAGAGTAGTTTAAGGTAGTACAGTGCCACGACCAGACAGACATTGAGTTTGTCGTGTCTTGCATGAGACAAGCGCTTTATATATGCCTAATTATTGCCGATTCTCAACTGTAGCCGATGGTGGCGCAGAAATCAGCCAGGACCACCAGGTGCACATCCACAATGATGAACAAATCTGACAATGGCGTTCATGCAAGCTCCATGGCCATCACACCGGATCATTCCCTATCCTAGAGTAGAATAGAGATAAAGTATGAGCGGCCATCTGTCCCATCTCATAGGACCCAAGATTCGGGTGGCACTGGATAACCGCAATAGTTGGTGGAGAGGGAGTGGAGCCGGGGTGGCCGAATTCTTTGTGATTGTGCGATTGCCATCCTGGACGCCTGGAACCAGCCATGATGGGCTTCGAGGCACCAAACAGACTTTTTCCCCTTTCTTTTTTGGCGGCGCGAGGGTACGTCAGTGCCTAGTGGGAAAGCCTGTCCTCTCACCATCCCCTCGCTCGCCCCAGAAGAACTCCAGCAGGGGAGTTTATCCCAACTTCATCCTCATCTTCTTTAGCCTCTTAGCTTCAAGGCGTCCTAAATACCCAGGAGAGCCATCTAAACCGCTTTATCTCCAGAATTACCATTTCAGGCAAGCTAAGGTGCCTGTTAGTGTCGGCCCAGGCCGATGACAAGCTTGGTGGTCGTTGGTTGATTGCACCGGCGCACTCCACCGTCTTCGCGGCCGATGCTCTCCGGACCAGCCAGAGCCCCTATCTGCTGATTATCCAACGCATCATCCGAGCCGGTCTCGCCGGGGTGCTGTTCCATCCCAGCTTCTAGACGCTTAGCTTGTCTCTCCCACCAGCGCAGCTTGATTAATTCGGGCTTCTTCTATTGAGGAGAAGGAGGGGATGATGGGGCTGCAGGACACGATGACCGATGAGAAGAAGTCATCGACGATCCAGGTGGGCTAGACCCATATTTCCTTGTCGTTCTACATACCATACATTGTCTACTATCTACATCTTCACTCTTGATCCTTGATCGCAACTGGTTTCATTTCAAATTGGCCCGACTGCTTGTCATCTTTCCCCGGAATCCCCTCACGTGGGCGCCTCCCCCCCAATCTATATCGTCCAATTCACCATCCCCCCACCTGCATCGTGCATTTACTTTTACGTGAGACATCAACAGATCTGACACATCCACCATCTACCGTTATTGGTTCTCATCTCTCTCTCGGAAATTGAAATGCTGACGATCGTCTTCGTGCCTTGTCTAGGAGCCGTCGTTGAATGGGATTAGCGATGCCTCCAGCATCCTTAGCGACTCTCGCGCTCAGGACATTCTCCCCTATGAAGCTGACGATTCTCCTTTTCCCGAAGTGCGCGCGGTCGTCAAGCCGGTTGACGACCGGCAGCTGCCGGTTAATACCGTTCGCATGTGGGTGATTGGTATGGTCTTTACAATTGTATGTTGTCTCCCTCCGACCGCGATGCTGCAAACCATCGAAAGAGGAAATCGCTTATTGTTCCTAGGTCGGAAGTGGCTTGAACCAATTCTTTAGTCTGAGACAACCCAGTGTGACTATCAGTGCTCTCGTCGCTCAGCTCCTAGCATTTCCGGTCGGATGTGCGTGGGCGCAATGGGTGCCCTTGGGCTGGTTCAACCCGGACCACCATTTCAACATCAAAGAGCACGCTCTGATCACAATTATGTCCAATGTCTCTTTTGGGTCGGCAGCTGCCACTCAAGTGATCGAAGCTATGGTTAAGTTTTACGATATGCCTTCCCATGGAGGCTTTGAGATTTTGTTGATGATCACTACGCAACTATTTGGGTTTGGTCTGGCGGGGATGGCCGCACGCTGGCTCGTGGGTCCGGCCACTATGATCTGGCCGCAAGTGCTGTCGAACGCTGCTTTGCTTTCGACCCTGCACTCGCGCCAAAATCTGATGGCAGATGGCTGGGTGATCAGCAGGCTTCGGTTCTTTATGATTGTATTTGTCGCTGGGGCAATCTGGTATTTCGCTCCGGGCTACCTTTTCACAGCCCTAAGTACATTCAGTTTCATCTGCTGGATCGTGCCGGACAATGTGGTGGTCAACCAGCTCTTTGGCCAAAAGACAGGGCTGGGCATGTCCTTGTTGACCTTCGACTGGGCCCAAGTTGTCTACGCCAACCAAAGCCCCCTGTTAGTGCCATTTTGGGCAGGCCTCAACGTCATCGGTTCGTTTGTGCTCTTTTACTGGATCATCTGCCCGATCATCTATTATACCAACACATGGTATTCGGCCTACCTTCCTTTACTAAACCCAGATACGTTCGACAATACGGGCAAGCCGTATAATACCAGTCGCGTAATGAACGCAGACGGTACATTCAATGTGGAGGCGTACCGCAACTATTCGCCCATGTTTCTCCCGGCTGGGTATGCCATGACGTATGGCGTGGCCTTTGCGAATTTGACGGGCATCTTCGTCCATGTCGCATTGTACCACGGGAAAGATCTGGTTGAGCAATGGAAGGGTAGGAATGCGAAAGATGTTCACGCCCGGATCATGGACAGCTATGAGAGTGTGCCGTGGTGGTGGTTTGGCGGCATTACAGTCGTAATGTTTGCGCTGAGCATAGTGGCCAACGAGGTCTGGCATACGGATCTCCCGGTGTGGGCGGTCTTTCTGGCATATTTGCTGCCCATCATCTACATCATCCCCGTTGGTATCATCAAAGCTATCACCAATATTTCCAGCAACCAACTCAATTTGATTACCGAATTTATTGGTGGCTATGCTTTCCTTGGGCGGCCAGTTGCAAACATGGCGTTCAAGTTCTATGGCTATGCGGGTGTGTCGCAGGGTCTCGAGTAAGTGTCCGCCTGGTCTGCATCCGGTGGTGGGTAGGAGCTGATCGATGTCTAGGTTTGTGGCCGACATGAAACTGGCGCACTATCTCCACATCGCGCCGCGAACGCTCTTTGTCGCGCAGGGCATGGCCACATTGGTCGGTGCCGTTGTGCAGTGCGGTGTGACTGTTTTTATGATCACTCGGATTCGCGGGGTGTGCACCCCTGAAGCCGAGGGAGGCTTTACCTGCCCCCATGGCCAGGTAACTTACTCGTCATCATTAATCTGGGGTAAGTGTCGGCCCGCCTACTAAAGTTCGTGGCTTTCCGTTAAACTTTTGTCTAGGTGTTCTCGGTCCCAATCGAAACTTCAGTCCTGGCCAGATGTACGGGAATCTCCTTTGGTTCTTCCTCGTAGGACCCGTCGTCGTGTTGGTTACATGGCTACTGGGCCGACGATGGAAGAGGGTCAATTATCTTTCTTGGCCCGTTGCATTCGGTGCCATGAGCCTCGTCCCTCCTGCGACGGGAATTAACTTTTCGTCCTGGTGGTTGGTTAATGTGATTTTCAATGGGGTCATCAAACGGCGGAAGCCCGCCTGGTGGTCGAAATATAGTAGGTTGTCCTTGATCAGTCTTGCGCGCGGCCAGTTGCTAATGGAGACGCTGTAGACTATGTGCTTTCTGCCGCACTCGACTCCGGGGTCGCCGTGTCGACCGTCATCATCTTCTTCTGCATTATATTACCAGCCGGACCATTGAAGTGGTGGGGCAACACAGTGTATCGGAATACAGCTGATGCACACGGTGTGCCATATAACCGACTTCCAGAGTCGGGGTATTTTGGACCTGCAAAAGGGACCTGGCAATAACGCATAGGGGCTTGGGGTGTTTTGGTTGATTTCAATAATGAGATAATTTCGGTCGGTATATAGTATGTCATATATGAATCTATAATTAATGTATAGTCTTTTTTTTCATCGCTTTCGTGATAGTAAAAAATCGTGTGCGAGTTTCTCAGCGTAGGAACTGTAGATAGATAAGGGGAGGATGGGTGAACTAGCGTTTAGCCCCGAGCCTTGGGTTGCCTCTCCTTGTCCTTCGTGTAAAGAACCATAACCAGGGAAACCTTGAGTGGAGGGAGTTAAGGTTCAGGGATCGGGGGGTTCAGGCGGCGGTGTAGATACTATCCTACCAAGCAAACTGTGACTGCAACTGCCCGCATTTGCAGGTGGACTGTTGTGCACCCATCGGAGTTTGGAGGGAGGAAGAGAGTGTCTCACTGGCAGAATTTGATCGACCATCTGAGGCTGAGGGGATCAGACTAATAAACCTTTTTTCCCTTTCCCACCCATCATCACTCATCACCTCCCCCCAGGGAGAGAAAGCGAGAGAACCGACAGACACTAAGACCTCCCTTGGGTGGACACGCCCCTCTCGCCCCGGCCGCTCCTAAAGACGAGCTACGGCTGCAACTCCATGGAAGTTCGCCCAGTTCTTCCCATCAAATTAATCCATCCATCCTCCTCCGACCACTTCCCCCACTCAATAATTCCTCCCCCCGGTATGGCCTGCGGTTCGAGCCGCCTTCCCTGGCCTCTTTCTCCGTCCCTTCCACCACCATGACCAACCGTGACCCCGAATTTCGGCATCAGCTGGGCAAATTCCGACTCGATCCCCTACCGATTCCTTCCCATCCTGCATCTCTGCCTCCTCCGCCGCGTCCTGCTCACCCCAGTTCCGTCCCTTCTCCGCAGTCGCTGCCGCCGCCCTCCGTGCCGCTTCAGCAGCAACAGCCACTCCCAACAGCACCACCGTCGCTCCAACAGTCTCAGCAGCAGCCTCAACCAACCCCTGCCTCATCGCGATCCTCCCCATCACATACCCCTCACCCTCGCAGTAAACGAGTATCCACAGCGTGCGATTTCTGTCGGAAACGGAAAAAGAAATGTGACTTTCGATACCCCAACTGCTCCGCGTGTACTCGCGCCGGTGTCCGCTGTACCATCCCTCCGCCGGGTCCCCAGGTCGCCGCGGCGTCTGTTCCTCGAGATCAGTTAGAAAATCTACAAAACCGGGTGAAATGGCTGGAGGATCTTTTGCGCCGCAAGACAGGCATCTCTGTTGGCGACCGGCCCACGGGGACTGCGCTGGATGGCGAGGGCGATCCGGACTGGTGGTACCAGGTCCCAGCCTTGCTGATGACTCGCGGGAGTTCAACACATTCAACCCCCACGACGACTGCAACCGCGCTGTCCAGCAGCCCTGCTCCTAGTTCCACCGCGGTAGGTACCGAGCTGCCTAACGTAGGCGAATTGTTTCGCGACCAGTTGGAGCATCGACGACCCTCCATCGCGCGTCCGGTAGCATCCGCTCCGCGCGTGATCCGGCTCGCCTCGCTGCCAGAGGCGAAATCAGTGGCATTGCGATACTTTGATAGTTTGGGGTACCAATATCCTTTTCTCCATCGCGAGGAGTTCATGGCCCATCTCGATCGCATCTATGCGGGGGAGGTCCCCGCACCAGAGGTTCATCACTCGTATCACATCACCATCGCAACGGCCTTGTTGATCGGATCTGCCGACGAGTCACAGGCTGCCGAGTTCTATCATGTTAGCAATGAGACAATGACCTTGGCTTTGCAGAATGAAGATCTGGCTGCTGTTCGAGCCCTTCTGAGCGTCGCTGTGTATACAATGTTTGCGACCACGGGCCCCAGCGTATGGCACATCCTCGGGACTACTTTGCGTCTCGCCACCAGTCTCGGGCTGCATAAAGCCCGTCCAACGGGGAACGTGATAGAAGAGGAGATGGCCAAGCGGGCGTTCTGGAGTCTCTACAACCTCGATCGACTGATCGCAAGCACCCTTGGAAGGCCACTTGGAATTGCAGACGAGGATATCTCAATAGGCTTGCCGCGGGAATTCAACGACAACTGGACAGAGACACCCGGAGCTAGTGCTATGACCATTCCATTGCAGGTGGTGCGCCTGCGCCGGATATTCTCGCGCATCTACCGCTACTGTAAGTCTCTTCGAGTTTGCCCCCGGTGCTCACTGAGGTCTAGTCCCACTGACTGTGACAGTATTCAACAACCAACCGCCACCTCCTCCAACAGAGGTTGCCATCACGCTCAGTCATTTCCGCCAGGAACTAGACGACTGGCGACAGGAAGCACCGGTGTATGCGCCCGCGCTTCTGTACTCGACTAGCTACTACGACTATCTATACGCAACGACACTGCTCCTTATGTACCGGCCTAGTCCGCGTAATCCGACACCTGATGCAACGAGCATCGTGAGCTGTGGCAATGCCAGCATTCAGGTCATTCGGTCCTACTGGGACAGCTATTCGCAGGGCAAGCTCAAGTGGATCTGGTTGACCCTCAGCCAGGTTTACTTTGCCGGCATCACAATCCTGTGGTGTCTTAACCATAATCTTCAGTCTGTCCGTGAAGGCCGTGGTGCTGCGTGGAAGCCTGAGGATCAGAGCATGCGACGGGCCATCCAGGCAGTAGTTGTTCTGCTGGAGGAATTTGGCAAGAGACGTCCGGGAGTGGACCGACTGGCGGAGACGTTTCGGAACCAGAGCACGATGATCTTCAGCCATCTGGCATACCAGCAGGAGCAGGAGCAGCAGCAGCAGCAGCTTCAACAACAACAACAGCCACAACCACTCCCGCCTCCACCGCAGCCACAGCCACAGCCACCAATACCACACCATCAAACGCTCTTGGAACAGCAGCCGCAGCAACAACCACAACAGCAGCAGCAGCAGCAACAGCAACAACACATTTTGGTAGCACCGCCGGTGCCCCTAGCGCCGGTGCTGGATGACGTTCTCCTGGTCAATGGATCGGGGAACGTGCCCATGATTGATCCACAACTGGCGGAGCAATTATTCTATTCCTATGACTGGTTTCAGGAGGAGATGGCGACATACTATACCCTTTAATTGGATTATATTAGAACAAGTTTGGAATAATCCTCTGTCTTTTGAGCTTACGGCTGTTGTGTAGTAATTCTGGAAGAGGCGCCTTGCTACCCCGCTGTAGATAAAACCCCCAACAACGCTTATCTTCTGTCAACCCCTCCACAACATCATTATCGTTCATCAATCCTCCCAACTATCACTGCAACTACTCCCATCATGGCTTCTGAACCATCCAAAGCTCAAGCCTTCCATGGCACTTTCATTCACACCCTGAGCTCCAAGCACCTTGAGATCCTCACCGAGACTTTCATCCTCCTCTCACCCACTGGAACCATCCAAGCCATCCGCCCATCAACTCCTGCGGCTTCTATCCCAAATCTCCTTGCGGAATACCATTACTCTGCATCCACCTGCACGGTGACCATTCTACAACCTACTGAGTTCTTCATCCCCGGCTTCATCGACACGCACACTCATGCGCCCCAATGGGCCCAGCGCGGCACGGGGCGGGGAATCGACCTACTTACCTGGCTGGAGACCATCACCTTCCGCCACGAAGCCAGACTCGCCGATCTGGAGTACGCCAAGTCGCTATATACTTCCTGTGTCCGCGGCGGGCTCAAACAAGGAATGACTACCGCCTGCTACTACGGTTCCCGTCATGCACCGGCATCGGTCATCCTCGCCGAAACCTGCCTCAGCCTAGGCCAGCGCGCGCTGATCGGAAAGTGCAATATGACTCGTCATGCCCCGGATTGGTATCGGGACGCATCGGTGGAAGAGTCCCTCCGTGAAACGGAAGACTTCATTGCTCGAGTTCGGGAACTTGATCCAACACACAGACTTGTGACCCCGGTGATTACACCGCGGTTTGCGATATGCTGTGAGGAAGAACTACTGGTTGGGCTTGGGACGGTCGCAGCCCGGAATCGCGACTTGCCCATCCAAACCCATTTCAATGAGTCGCAGGGAGAGGTGAATTTCACCAGGCAACTGTTCCCTGATGATAAGAGTGAAACGGAACTCTATGAGCGGCTTGGACTCCTAAATGACCGGAGCATTCTTGCTCACTCGATCTACCTTTCGGATGCGGAGATCGAACGTATGGCGGAGCTGCAGTGTGGGATCGCTCACTGCCCTATTCCCAATGTCACGATGGATGAGTTCATGGTTGCGCCCGTGCGGGAGTATCTCCGTCGGGATATCAAAGTCGGACTAGGTACCGACTGTGGAGGAGGCTATTCAAGCTCCATGCTCGAGGTGATGAAGGCTGCCTTTGTGGTGTCGACGGCACGGTGCACGATGACGCAAGGACAGGATCAGCCTTTGAGTCTTACGGAGGGGTTTTATATGGCTACTTTGGGCGGAGCGCGGGTATGCCAACTGCAGGAAAAAGTCGGGAATTTCATGGTGGGCAAGGAGTTCGATGCGCTGCTTATTCGGACACAGGAGGAGGGCGTAATGGCGCCAGTGGAGGAGGAAGACGGAGTGCCGACGGTGTTTGAAAAGTTCTTGATGACGGGGGATGACCGCAATATTGGACGAGTGTTTGTGAAGGGACGGGAGGTGCATACTGCCCGTTGAAATGATTGCCATGTATTTGACTGCTATATTTATCGATATCTGGAAAGGCATTGCGCGTACAATCTCATTGTGAATGGTTCGTTCCTTATAAAAAAGTAGAGAGATTCGGGTGGAGACGGGGATGATCCACACCTCAGGCACCGGTAAGGCTGAGCCCGTTTCCGGTTTTGTTTCACAGCCTCGTCCACTGCTTTTCCCTCTCCACTTGGACTGAGTGTCTGCTCTGCCTCCCTCCTCTGCTTTTCCCCCTCCGTGGCAGGGGTCTTTTTTAAAAGTCTCAGCCCCCAGTCCTCCTCCCTCAGGATCCTGCCTTTCTTTCGTTTACCCACCTTTGTCCTTGAGGGAGTCCTCTTATCTTTATTCCCTTTCTCTATGAACTCCTAATTATCCCTAATTCTAGTCCCTCACGATCGCCGTTACTCGAAACACCTCGATAACGGGTTTCCTATCAACGGCCATACATTCGCTTTACCCTTCATTTTCTCACCCACGAAATCCTAGAACTAATCACACCATGGCCGAAGAACCTCAGGTCATGTCAATCCAGCAACGGATTGCGGCACTTAAACAAGCGCAAGTTGGTCAAAGCTCAGGAACCGATACCAGCGAGCCTGCCCATGTCCAGCCCACTCTTATGCCCATCCGTCCGGCTGCTCCCCCGCGACCCAAGACCTTCACCACCAACAACACCAACGACAGTTATAACACCCATGCTGCTGGCAGCAATGGCTCCGTCTACAATCGTTCGTCCGCTTCAAACGACGCGGTCCCTCCTAGACCTGTCCCTCGTCCCGCTACTGCACCAGCACCGCCCCCGGTAAAACACAAAACGCCCCCTCCTTTGCCTGCTCGCAAGCCCTCCGATCAACAGCGCCCAGCACTACCACCGCGCAGACCGACTCAACCCTCTCATAAAGGCTCCTTAGAGTCCATGGCCTCAGATATATCTAGATCGACCACTACAAGTACCGGAAGGACATCGGCTAGCTCCATTAATACAGGCCCTGGCCGCTCCCTGCCACCCGCTTGGGGCGAGGCTGAGCTGCCTCCATTGCCCCCAAAGCGCCAGCCACAACCACCACCGCGACCGACGCCCACGACTATGAGGAGTAGCAGTAGCAGCAGCAGGCTATCTCCACCTCGTCCGTCTTTGCCCTTGCGGCGGAAATCCAGCCAGAGCAACTACTCCATGGAAAGCAATGATTCGCAGGCTTCCCGGCTGCCTCCCCCACTACCGTCTAGAAGCACCAGCGACAGGTCGTCGACAATCAACGAAGAGGAAGAGAAGAACCCACCACTACCAGCTCGGAGGCTACCCCCACCCCCGCTGTCTAATGATACGCTGGGTAAGCTCAAACAATCCGGCTTTGCGGCGATCAACAAATCCTTTGGCAGTGCCAATGGAGTTGCCAATGAGCCCAGCTCCAATGGTGTGCCCCCACCTGTCCCGCTGGCATCGCGTCCGGATCTCTCCAAAATCCAAGCTACGAAGCCTCGTCTGTATGCGTCCAATGCGCCCATGATTCCCACACCGGTTGCGTGCTTGAAATGCCGCGACTTCTCTGCCGCCGATGCCCATGCAGCTCGATATCCACGCACATCTCTCCCAACACACGACTTGTCCTGGCTGGCAAATGAGCTCACGGGGCCGTTCCCGTCGCTCACGGACAAAGCTCGGGTCATTTTTACATGGCTCCACCACAATGTCGCGTATGACACAGAGGCTTTTTATAATAATCGGGTAAAGAAGCAAACTCCGGCCAATACACTCGCGACGGGTATGGGTGTGTGTGAAGGGTATGCTGGGTTATTCACTGCGCTTGCTACACATGCAGGTCTGGAGGCGAAGACGGTCCATGGCCACGGTAAAGGCTATGGTTATGTGGCACCTGCTCCCGGCTCTCCATTACCTCCTGTTCAAGGTGGCCATGCTTGGAATGTGGTTAGGATTGATAACGGGCAGTGGAAGCTGATTGACCCCTGCTGGGGCGCTGGGTGCGTCCATGGCCCGGGGAAACCTTACCAGGCGCAGTTCGACCCGACCATGTTCACGGACACCAATGACGAGCTGGGGCTGAAGCACTTTCCGCAAGACCGAACACAGTTCTACCGGGATGATGGGCGTCCCGAGATCAGCTGGGAGGAGTACCTTTTGGGCAATCCCTCTTCGCCGCTGTGCGTTGAGCAGCCATTGGTGTTTGGGGAGGCGAAGAAGAACCACATTGGAGTGCGATCCTTCCGCCCGGCTGCCAAGCAGATCTCGGTGCATCAGGGAGGGCCGGTGCGTTTCCAGTTCAGTCTGATCTGCGAGCACTGGACGCTGGAGCATCACACGCGGGCTAAGCCTGGACTGTTTCTGCTGATTGTGAACGGAGTGGATGGGCAGAAGGAGGAACGCCTTGTAATCACCCACGTGCCGGGATCCAACCCGAACGGCGGGGGAGACGTGTGGTACGTGGACGTGCCGGATTCCAGGATGCTGGGGGCGCCGGGCCAGCAAGCGCTGATAGTGGTGCTGAGCCGGTTCGGGGATCGAAAGGACGTCCGGGGGTTGACAGCGGAGGAATACCGGGCGCGAGCCGGTAAGGTGCCGATGGAGTATGTCTTCATTGCACAGTGGGATCTCGTGTAAGGCGCGGCAAAGGGGGTCGGCATGGGCAGCCGGGTAATTAGGGTTGGCTGCCCTGCATGGTTTGAGTATTTAGTGGACTAGTGTTTCTCCTTTTGTGTCTCTGTGGCTTTTTTGGCTTTTTCTTCCCCTCTTCTCCCGGCTTGGAGAGGCTTGTCTCACCCCCGACAGCGGACATCATGGTTTGTTCCGAGATTTCCCGTAATGATAATGACCTTGGTCGTATATATACACACATACCGCCCATGAAGATGCAACTTGGGCCCAACCAGTCTTTTGGTGATTTAACTATGACTCCCGTCAGTTGGTACAGCGGGGACAACTGAGTAGTAGTTGAAATATGCGGGCGGAGAAAATCCACGAATCAGCCCAAGGGATCATGAGTGGATGAGAAAATTTCGAACGTTTAGTAACAAACGGTGCTGGAAACGAGCACGTTAGAAAGTCCTTGGCGAAGGCTAAAAGGAGGGTACTTCGTCGGCTAAATTCCCAGGCCCATCTCATGGCCTGGTTGACCAGGAGTATTATTAGTAGGTAGCTACTTCCTAGTATCATGTTGGGGGCACTGGGGACCCCGGGATTATTGCATGAGGGATTTAACTACGAGGCCATTCAGGAAGGAGATGGAAGAGAACATGATAGAATGTCTCGATCACATCATACTACCTGGCAGGGGATGAAATTTTCTGGCAGCCGGACTGGAGGTAATTTTAATGATTGGGGTTATTATACGGGGGCCCGGGGTGTTTCCATTATCCAAAGCAAAACGATGTTTTCCTGTTCCTGTCTGTTTCTGACTGGCGATTATTGGCTGGCTATCATAACCTCCCCACCCATACTAGCCAGTCTGGGGATAGTATATTACGGCCAAGACCCTGAAAGTCGAGATTTAAGCCTAATTAGGCTCTGGGCCGGGCGCGAGCCTGACTGCCTGAGAGTCATGTGCTCTGGGGAAGTCGGTCGGTGTCGGTGTCTCTCCGCAATCTCGAGTCCCCCCGTTCTCTTCTCCATTCCCCCCGAACTGGATCTCGTTTGCCTACCCTCACCGAACCGTTCTCCTCGATCGGTTCATATTAGATAATGTCTCTGCGCTGAGTCAGTTACACTGCTAGTTACTGCACAGTCCCCGCTGGCATTGCGTTGCTGGCCTGCAGGAATTTCCTAATCTACTCCGGACTGTATCCCGCCTTGGCCGGGAAAGGGAACGACAATGCCGATCCACCCAATCCCCGGAATCCTCCACCTCCACCTTCTCTGCCTCCACGCTTACGCTGGATCGCGGCCTCCGACTCTCGGCTGACCCGTCTTCGGTCTTCAGCCTTCAGGGTTGCCTGCCTTGCTGTCCGATGGCTTTTCCTGAACGTGCTGGCCGGCTTGGACCGCCTCCCACGCTTGCAGCCACCTACCCGACTACGGTCACATTCGGTCATCCCAATGGAGACATACCGCGGAAGTCGAGATATCATTTGTTGTGCATCAATCAGGTCGGGTGGATTCTGGATCATTCTCTCGCCCCCCTCCCCATCTGCCTCCTAATGGCTCGTTTCATGACCCCTCGACCCTCCAGACCATGTGCTCGCCCCGGTTTTTTTTTCCCATGCGACAGATGGGCTCACGGCCAGCCGACTGACCCATGGGCAACGCCCCCCATGTCAGCTCCTGGTGGACCGCCTTTTGCTGCATGCATCCAATCGCTAGTTCAGCTGAACCTTGACCTAACCGGATATGCCTGTCTCTCCGCTAGTCAGAGGCCGGTCTAATCTCGCCTGGCATGGGTCTTCTTTGCTTGCCGTGCGACTCGGGTCGGAATTGTCCCTCTACCACCCTTTAGGTTTGACAATTCAACCGGCCATCATGGCAGTTCTCTGCGTCGACCCCGCGGCCTCTGCTCCTGTCTCACTGTGGTCCATTTCATCTGGTGCCACCCGTTCCCGGGTTTCGCTTTCCTTAAATCCCCCGTCTTTTCCCCGGCTTCTCCTGCGTCCTTCTCTTGCTCTCTCCGGTGGTTCCCCGAGGTTTCTTTTTTCTTTCCCCCAGAATCTCCTGCCGTGAGCGGAACCAGCTGGCATCATGGCTATCGGCAATCTTTACTTCATTGCGGCCATCGCCGTCGTCGGCGGTGGTCTGTTCGGTTTCGATATCTCGTCGATGTCGGCCATCATCGAGACCGATGCCTATCTCTGTTACTTCAACCAGGCTCCTGTCACTTACGATGATGATGGCAAGAGGGTCTGTCAGGGCCCCAGCGCGAGTGTGCAGGGTGGTATCACCGCCTCCATGGCTGGTGGTTCCTGGTTGGGCTCGTTGATCTCGGGTTTCATCTCGGACAGGCTTGGTCGTCGTACTGCCATTCAGATCGGTTCCATCATCTGGTATGTATCTGACACCGCTGCACCGTTATCTCTGCTAACAATGCATGGCTGTACAGGTGCATTGGATCCATCATTGTCTGTGCCTCCCAGAACATTCCCATGCTGATCGTCGGTCGTATCATCAACGGTCTGAGTGTGGGTATCTGCTCCGCTCAGGTGCCAGTGTATATTTCGGAGATTGTATGTCGGTCCCATAATGCCTGCTGCTGCATGCGGTGCTAATCATTTAGGCTCCTCCAACCAAGCGTGGTCGTGTCGTCGGTCTGCAACAATGGGCTATTACCTGGGGTATCCTGATCATGTTCTAGTAAGTCCTTATCCATCATCAGCTACCATGTCACATCTCACACGTGATGTAGCGTCTCCTATGGATGCAGCTTCATCAAGGGTACGGCGGCCTTCCGGATTCCCTGGGGTCTGCAGATGATCCCTGCCGTGCTATTGTTCCTGGGTATGATGCTCCTGCCTGAGTCACCCCGCTGGCTGGCACGCAAGGACCGATGGGAGGAGTGCCACGCTGTTTTGACCCTCGTCCACGGTCAGGGAGACCCGAGCTCTCCCTTTGTGCAGCGTGAATATGAAGAGATCAAGAGCATGTGCGAGTTTGAGCGCCAAAACGCGGATGTCTCCTACCTCGAGCTGTTCAAGCCCAACATGCTTAACCGTACCCATGTGGGTGTTTTCGTTCAGATCTGGTCTCAGTTGACTGGAATGAACGTCATGAGTAAGTTTCTTTCGAGCCTGTATAGGTAGTCAGCAATGCTAACCGGTTCACTTCTAGTGTACTACATCACCTACGTCTTTGCCATGGCCGGCTTGAAAGGTAACAACAACTTGATCTCCTCCAGTATCCAGTACGTGATCAACGTGTGCATGACTGTGCCGGCTCTGGTGTGGGGTGATCAGTGGGGCCGTCGCCCGACCTTCTTGATCGGTTCGCTCTTCATGATGATCTGGATGTACATTAATGCTGGTCTGATGGCCAGCTACGGTCATCCCGCGCCGCCCGGCGGTCTCAACAACGTGGAAGCCGAGTCCTGGGTCATCCACGGCGCGCCCAGCAAGGCTGTCATTGCCAGTACCTACCTCTTCGTAGCCTCATACGCCATCTCCTTCGGCCCCGCCAGCTGGGTGTACCCGCCGGAACTCTTCCCTCTGCGTGTGCGCGGCAAGGCTACCGCCCTCTGCACTTCAGCCAACTGGGCCTTCAACTTCGCCCTCAGCTATTTTGTCCCCCCGGCATTTGTCAACATCCAGTGGAAGGTCTACATCCTCTTCGGTGTCTTCTGTACTGCCATGTTCTTGCACATTTTCTTCTTCTTTCCCGAGACCACGGGTAAGACCCTGGAAGAGGTCGAGGCCATCTTCACTGATCCCAATGGTATTCCGTACATCGGTACTCCCGCCTGGAAGACAAAGAACGAGTACTCGCGC